TTAGCCCAAGGGTCTAAGCCAGTGGTTTTCAAACTTTTTGAGCGCGCCACCGTTTGAAAATTTTTACAAACTTCGCGCTCTCCTCCCTTTTGCATTGAAAAAATGCTTTTGTGATGAGCATGTTGCTTTATATTAAGATGGCGCTGTAAGAGTGTTGGTCTCATAGCGTTATTGCTCTGATTGTTTAGGCATAAAACTTATAGAGTACGACTTCCCCATTCACAGTCGTATGTATATTTTATCGACACAATCGCAGATTTAGTTTATCACAAATAATAACGAAACCATTTTAAATATGTATATCGATCATGAATTGACAGAAAAACCATTAAATAATAATATCTGTTGAAAAAGTCGGCTCTTTTAACAAGTTGCGTAATCTCGACAACTGACTCAAGAGCGTGTGAAGAATATGTTATTTTGATTTACCAATATACTTTATAATATTTTCTTTGTACTAAATTAAATATTCTTTTCGTGACTTTATACCAGATCTTTTTAACGACGATAACGAATTCGCATGAGCGCAATACATATCAAAACTTAATATAATTGGGCGGTTGATCTCGCATTATTATGTCCGCGGATTGGAGTGGTATTTTAGATCGGTAATGAGTTTATTTTGTCATGAGTCGCCGCAAAGGCGAGTTACCTTGAACACAAATGTAGTAAAATAGAGATTAATAGATTGAAAATTTGGGGGCAGAAAAATTTATTATTAGAAAAAGCCGGCATTTTGAACAAACGCGATCGTTTCAGAAGAAGTTGCATGAAAATTTTCGATGCCATCTTGTGTCCTCTCGCGCCCCCCCTGATAGCATCTATTTCTGTTGGGTCTAGACCAAACTTATTTTTGTTTGATCCTAGCCCAAGGGTCTAAGCCAAAACTTATTGCTGTTAGGTCTAGCCCAGACTTATTTTTGTTTGATCCTAGCCCAAGGGTCTAAGCCAAAACTTATTTCTGTTGGGTCTAGCCCAAACTTATTTTTGTTTGATCCTAGCCCAAGGGTCTAAGCCAAAACTTATTGCTGTTCGTTCTAGCCCAAACATATTTTTGACTGATCCTAGCCCAAGGGTCTAAGCCAAAATTTATTTATTTCGGGTCTAGCCCAAACTTATTTTTGTTTGATCCTAGCCCAAGGGTCTAAGCCAAAACTTATTGCTGTTGGGTCTAGCCCAAACCTATTTTTGTTTGATCCTAGCCCAAGGGTCTAAGCCAAAACTTATTTCTGTTGGGTCTAGCCCAAATTTATTTTTGTTTGATCCTAGCCCAAGGGTCTAAGCCAAAACTTATTGCTGTTGGGTCTAGCCCAAACATATTTTTGTTTGATCCTAGCCCAAGGGTCTAAACCAAAACTTATTTCTGTTGGGTCTAGCCCAAATTTATTTTTGTTTGATCCTAGCCCAAGGGTCTAAGCCAAAATTTATTGCTGTTGGGTCTAGCCCAAACTTACTTTTGTTTGATTCTAGCCCAACTTATTTATGTTTGATTCTAGCCCAAGGGTCTAAGCCAAAACTTATTTCTGTTGGGTCTAGCCCGAACTTATTTTTGTTTGATCCTAGCCCAAGGGTCTAAGCCAAAACTTATTGCTGTTGGGTCTAGCCCAAACTTATTTTTGTTTGATCCTAGCCCAAGGGTCTAAGCCAAAACTTATTGCTGTTGGGTCTAGCCCAAACTTATTTTTGTTTGATCCTAGCCCAAGGGTCTAAGCCAAAACTTATTGCTGTTGGGTCTAGCCCAAACTTATTTTTGTTTGATCCTAGCCCAAGGGTCTAAGCCAAAACTTATTGCTGTTGGGTCTAGCCCAAACTTACTTTTGTTTGATTCTAGCCCAACTTATTTATGTTTGATTCTAGCCCAAGGGTCTAAGCCAAAACTTATTTCTGTTGGGTCTAGCCAAACTTATTTTTGTTTGATTCTAGCCCAAACTTATTTTTGTTTGATCCTAGCCCAAGGGTCTAAGCCAAAACTTATTGCTGTTGGGTCTAGCCCAAACTTACTTTTGTTTGATTCTAGCCCAACTTATTTTTGTTTGATCCTAGCCCAAGGGTCTAAGCCAAAACTTATTTCTGTTGGGTCTAGCCAAACTTATTTTTGTTTGATCCTAGCCCAAGGGTCTCAGCCAAAACTTATTTCTGTTGGGTCTAGCCCAAACTTATTTTTGTTTGATCCTAGCCCAAGGGTCTAAGCCAAAATTTATTTATTCCGGGTCTAGCCCAAACCTATTTTTGTTTGATCCTAGCCCAAGGGTCTAAGCCAAAACTTATTGCTGTTGGGTCTAGCCCAAACTTATTTTTGTTTGATCCTAGCCCAAGGGTCCAAGCCAAAACTTATTTCTGTTGGGTCTAGCCAAGACCTATTTTTGTTTGATCCTAGCCCAAGGTTCTAAGCCAAAACTTATTGCTGTTGGATCTAGCCCAAACTTATTTTTGTTTGATCCTAGCCCAAGGGTCTAAGCCAAACTTATTGCTGTTGGATCTAGCCCAAACTTATTTTTGTTTGATCCTAGCCCAAGGGTCTAAGCCAAAACTTATTGCTGTTGGATCTAGCCCAAACTTATTTTTGTTTGATCCTAGCCCAAGGGTCTAAGCCAAAACTTATTGCTGTTGGATCTAGCCCAAACTTATTTTGTTTGATCCTAGCCCAAGGGTCTAAGCCAAAACTTATTGCTGTTGGGTCTAGCCCAAACTTATTTTTGTTTGATCCTAGCCCAATGGTCTAAGCCAAAACCTATTGCTGTTGGATCTAGCCCAAACTTATTTTTGTTTGATCCTAGCCCAAGGGTCTAAGCCAAAACTTATTGCTGTTGGATCTAGCCCAAACTTATTTTTGTTTGATCCTAGCCCAAGGGTCTAAGCCAAAACTTATTGCTGTTGGATCTAGCCCAAACTTATTACTGTTTGATCCTAGCCCAAGGGTCTAAGCCAAAACTTATTGCTGTTGGATCTAGCCCAAACTTATTTTGTTTGATCCTAGCCCAAGGGTCTAAGCCAAAACTTATTTTTGTTTGATCCTAGCCCAAGGGTCTAAGCCAAAACTTATTTCTGTTGGGTCTAGCCCAAACTTTTTTGTTTGATCCTAGCCCAAGGGTCTAAGCCAAAACTTATTGCTGTTGGGTCTAGCCCAAACTTACTTTTGTTCGATCCTAGCCCAACTTATTTATGTTGATCCTAGCCCAAGGGTCTAAGCCAAAACTTATTGCTGTTGGGTCTAGCCCAAACTTATTTTTGTTTGATCCTAGCCCAAGGGTCCAAGCCAAAACTTATTTCTGTTGGGTCTAGCCAAGACCTATTTTTGTTTGATCCTAGCCCAAGGGTCTAAGCCAAAACTTATTTCTGTTGGGTCTAGCCCAAACTTATTTTGTTTGATCCTAGCCCAAGGGTCTAAGCCAAAACTTATTGCTGTTGGGTCTAGCCCAAACTTATTTTTGTTTGATCCTAGCCCAAGGGTCTAAGCCCAAACTTATTTTTGTTTGATCCTAGCCCAAGGGTCTAAGCCAAAACTTATTGCTGTTGGATCTAGCCCAAACTTATTATTGTTTGATCCTAGCCCAAGGGTCTAAGCCAAAACTTATTGCTGTTGGGTCTAGCCCAAACTTATTTTTGTTTGATCCTAGCCCAAGGGTCTAAGCCAAAACTTATTTCTGTTGGGTCTAGCCCAAACTTTTTTGTTTGATCCTAGCCCAAGGGTCTAAGCCAAAACTTATTGCTGTTGGGTCTAGCCCAAACTTACTTTTGTTCGATCCTAGCCCAACTTATTTATGTTGATCCTAGCCCAAGGGTCTAAGCCAAAACTTATTGCTGTTGGGGTAGCCCAGACTTATTTTTGTTTGATCCTAGCCCAAGGGTCTAAGCCAAAACCTATTTTTGTTGGGTCTAGCCCAAACTTATTTTTGTTTGATCCTAGCCCAAAGATCTAAGCCAAAACTTATTGCTGTTGGGTCTAGCCCAGACTTGTTTTTGTTTGATCCTAGTCCAAGGGTCTAAGCCAAAACTTATTTCTGTTGGGTCTAGCCCAAACTTATTTTTGTTTGATCCTAGCCCAAGGGTCCAAGCCAAAACTTATTGCTGTTGGGTCTAGCCCAAACTTACTTTTGTTTGATCCTAGCCCAAGGGTCTAAGCCCAAACTTATTTTTGTTTGATCCTAGCCCAAGGGTCTAAGCCAAAACTTATTGCTGTTGGGTCAAGCTTAAACTTATTTTTGTTTGATTCTAGCCCAAGGGTCGAAGCCAAAACTTATTTCTGTATATAGTTAATATTCCATACAGGTCAACTATAATCTAAGAAATGTGGAATGAGAATATGATACTTTCTCGTTCAAGTATCCTTGTGGCTACTGCAATATAGATTATTAGACGAGGAGAAAGGAAAGGCAGCTTAATATACAATAAACTAGTACTTGAAAATAATATGTAGGATATTCGTCACGACACAAAAGCAACTATAAAATGGGACATATTTCTCTACAAAACTAGAAATAGGTATAATTTGAGATAAATGGATGTGTTTTTAAAGCAGTTTTTTAATAATCAAGAACTTTTCTAAAAAAAAAATATATACTTCATCTCATTTGAACAGAGATATAAGCAGGTAAGGAAGTGCATTTCCAATGGGAAATGCACTTCCTTACCTGCTTATATCTCTGTTCAAATGAGATGAAGTATATATATAAAAAAGAGAAACAAAAACACCTCAACCTCATAAGCAGTGAAATAAAAAAATTATAAAAAATGTCACATAGACAGAGGTGACGGAGTCGAGCAAATATACCCAAATTAAATCATTGGTCAAACCGCAGCTTCCGCAAACCCCTGCACATAATACAATACAATTGCAATAAATGAAACAATAAAAAAGAACCAAATTTAGTCCCGGCACAATACCCGATTTTTCACAGGAAGTATACCCAAAAATTTACTCTAAAATAAAAAAAATGCCTACCGGTAACTACAAATCTATAACAGTATAAATCCCAGCTAAGACATATAACACGTAAATGACAAAAATCCCATCGGAGTTATAATCAATTGTACAAATATAAAAAATCATATATAAAATATTTAAAATCAAAAAACAGTTACACGATAAGCTTATAAATAAAACAATATGAAATCACAATGGAAATAAATCAAGTGGCAGGACTACGCTACACCTGCCATAGCAACGAATGATTCCGTGGTCATATTTAACAGGTTATTCTGGTCCTCTTAGTACGAACCCCAGGGTTAAAAAAAGAATATCATCACATCCATAATGTCATTACTATCAACAATATTATCATTCTCAAAGACAAAATCAAGCAAATTAATACCATCTAAGATGATCAACATAAGTAATCCTATATTTTCCACTCCAGAGATGGCCAATACCGAATGGCGAATAGTTCACATTTTCAATACATTCGGAATTATTATTTTCGAATATGAAATATCGGATACATTCGAAAATAAATTCAAATAAAAGAAAGCATATTTTAGTGTATAAAGAAGTTTGCATACAATAAACAATGGAATAACTGTTATCTACAACCTGGCTATTCACCAGACAGTTTATGTCCGCACATTGCCGTGATATTTTAGAGTAGTTTTGTTTTTCACATTGTAGTAGGTACGAAAATACAAATTAATTATAATCAGGCAGTTTAAAACTTTTCATGTTGATTGCCGTGGCATTCATTTTTCGTTATTTTACGCAACCATGAGATAAGTTGAACAAAATCAAAATAATACAGCGAGGCATTTTAGATGCTGGTATCTAAACATTTTGCGCAACAGAAAATCATCCTAGTGAAAAGTCTATACTATTATCTATCATTATCAAATTATTTGCAGAAAAGAGAGAAAAAGTATGAATTATATTTCCCAATAATTCCGACTTGCGACAATTTATTGGGTATCGTAACACTTGTTGCATTACATACCGTAAGTTTAAATTTTTCGACGTCATCGAAATGAATGTGTAAATTAGAAGCCTTGCAGGGGAATAGCGGCTATGTCAATCACTCAATCGTGCAACAATATGAGGCGCACGTTCACACCGAAGATAACAAACAATCAAAGTGCCAGGTCTATTTTATCGTCAGTACAATACAAAGCGCAGAAAACTGTTCGAAGATTTCACTTAGGAGGCAAAACACCTCACTGACAGCTGAATGCGGCTATTATTCAGAAAAGTACTTGAATCGTTTTGGACAACCCTGTTTACCAGTATTATTAACATTCTTGATATAATAAACAAAATGTGAAAAAAATATAACACTTCAAAGGGTCTCACCCACCAGTTGACCAACCTAATAAACAAAATGTGAAAAAAATATAACACTTCAAAGGGTCTCACCCACCAGTTGACCAACCTATTCTTACATGGATAAAAAAAATACCATACAAAATCCCCCACATTAAAAAACAAAGATTTGACAGTTACATTGAAATTTCGTTTTTGCCAAACAGCAGATTTCCTGATTGATCCCTGGCAAATTCGAAGGGTTCAGATGGGGCATTATTGAACAGTTCAACAATTTCATCATGTAACGTTCATTCATACACAACTCATGGAATTGTCTGTATATTTCAAGCACAATTAGAATGATTTTCCTACAGGTGCAGACGATAAAACACCCAATATAGAACTCCATCAATGACTTCCATTATCTTTCAGCAGCTGCACAAAATTCAAACTTTCCTGGAATAGAACAGTAGATCTACAGATAAAGTAGGTTGATCCAAGGTTTTCTTCATAGTTAGAACTTTTGAAATATGATATCCTTCATCCGCCTTTCGCATTCATATAATCTGATGCCATAATAAAACAATCACCAGGTTAGACCAGTTTGCCCCATCTAAAAAATATAAATCAAGTCATTACAAATTTGAACTGAATTATACGATTTACTGATCAAACTCTCTTCAAAAATACGATTCGGATCACAGAGACAAACAACAGACAAAAACAAATTGTCATTAGGTTGAAAGCAAGAGCGCAAAAATGATAAACCTCATGAAAAAAGTAAAATTTCAATTAAGTAGTTGAGTGAGTAGAGTAGTTGAAAAAACATCTATAAAATTTAAGTTTAGAGCAGTGGTTTTTCACCTTTTTGGTGGAGCGGGTCTATAGAAACATTGCTGATTGAAGCTTTTTTCCACTAGTGCTCTGATATGAGGCGAACTACAGCTCACTTGTCAGATATAGCAATGGTTCCTGGACCTTTTTTCACACGACCCAAATTTTTATACCATCTAAGACTACAAGTACACCTGCATATTGACTGCAAGTGGACGGTACACATTAGTCCAAAAATATATGACCGAGTACGGCAATGCATACGCGTATCCACAAAATATTTTATGGTGTTTTTCGTTGGAATACGTTTTACAGACTTTGGGCTTTTATTTTATGCAAATTACCTAATTATTATATTACTTAATTTTATTTCAAATATATTGGATATTTTATATTCGAAAATAATAATTTAGAATGTATTGGAAATAGTAGATTATTCAGGTATATGAATTGATTTCAAAGAGTCTGAAGATACTATACTAACCTTTACTATGAATATGATTACTAGAAAATATGGCATCAACATTGAATCTTGTACATTTCCGACAACATATTTTGTAAAAATAGTCAAAACGTGAGCACAGTATACATGAGTAATGTGATGTTATGTGAACTCAAAAGTTTAAGGCTGATGACTATCAGTAACTGGCACCAGAGTCTGCAATATGTATCGAATATAAATTGTTTTGGTAAGGCATCAATGAAATATTACAGACAGTTCGCCATGCTTTTATGGTCAAAACCATATTATTGTGTTTGTTATCACCTTAATATCACCACCAACATAATTTACCACAGTCATACTTTCAATCATGTTTAGGATACTTGATTGAAGTTGGTCAGTGCTGATAATAATGCTCATTTCTGTATAGATTTGGTATAATTGAGATATGTAAATAGAACTAGACAAAATGAAATATTTAAAATACATGATTTGTTGCTGATAATAAAGACTTGCCAATTGTGGTAGTGTTGAAAAAATGCGGCATAGTGATATATCAGACTGATATTCATTCTTCGACTGAAGGAAACTATCAGTAGCGAATGCTGCATTTATGCAAGAAAACTGTAGATTGTAATCCAATGAGATTGGAACGTATTTTCTTTTATCACTCAAGCCCCTTATGAGATAAAACTTCATTAACATTCTTATTGAAAGTCAAACACTCCATTTTAGGAGAAAATCAACTTCGGCGTATGCAAGTCTCCTTTAATTAGTAGTGCTTAAAATAATCAACTAAGTGCATTATACACGTGTCAGAAATTTTAAATTTTAAATTCCAACTCCCAACTCTAGAGAATTCAAAACCAGACTCTGTTTAAAAATTTTGAGAATACGAGTCAACTACACAGCCCTATTGAATACTAGAGTCCAGAAATTTTGGGTCCAAGACAAATATTATGAGACTAAACTATATCATCAATATTGAATTCACACCAATTCAAACATAATTCTATGTTTAAGTGGCTTTTCATACAGAATCTTTTTTGAAGCAAGAGATGCAATGTATCCTAAACAACTTTCCAGCTTTATAAATGTTTGGATAGAAGAATAGTTTGGTCACAGAAGTATCAGATAGACAGATATCAAACAGAGAGTAATACATAAATAATCAAACAAAGAAAAGTTATTTTAGTTACCTGTAATTCAATAAATGCTGACTGTAATGTATTGCAAACAGAAATATTGCAATTACTGGATAGACAATCATGTCTGACTGAAGACGTTCTCACTAAAAATACGAAAAAATGAAGTTTTAAATACCGTAGGTTTTAAAAATCCAAAACGGAATCTTATATTGTACGAAAGTGATTCCCGTTTATAATAACATTTGTCACGATAAATCAATGTTTCCTAAAGCATTATTATTCATCCGTACACATTAGGAACTACAGGCAGTAATAAAATAATACCAATATCAACATTAAGATTAAGGTTACTAAGAGTTGCATATCTGACGATATTGGACATTTAACTGGTGTATAATTGTCAGTGGTTCCCAACCTGGGTGTCGCATTTTTTGAGGGGGTCGCAGGATAACATAATTTAATGTGCAACTTTTTTCTATAAAATCTCGATGAAAAAAATAAATTTGTATATAACCGGAAAAATTATAAACGAGAAACAATGGAAACCAATATTTGAGGCTTTGGGTTGACTAATTCCAAACTAAGGTCTCCCACTCCAGAACACTCTTACCACTGTGATATATTATCTGTTGACACTACAGCATGCATTTTAATTTTGACTATGAGTTTGTGGTTCAGTACCCTTTCATTGACTTCCCCATTTACCTATTTTGGAACTCGCCCTCTCTCTCTACGAATTCTATATTATTTATTGAATCTATAATGAGCCGCTTTCCAGTCCCATTTTTGTACAGTTTAGGTCAGTGGTTCTCAAACTTTTTTAGTCCCAGAGCCGCATTTCAAACCTCAAAGTTGTGAAGAGCCGCACATAAACAACGCAAGGTAAAATAGCAACAAACCTTAAGCGCTTATTTAAAATACCAAGTCATCGTAACAACTATGGCTGGGCAAAATATACGAATAATGAAATATTCGAATGCCATTTTACTATTCGAATATCTGGTACCACGTGACCTGAGTATTGACCTCCGACGTTCTGGATCACTGTTATGTATAAAAAAAATTTATTATTCCACTATTCCGTATTCGTTAAAAATATTCAAATCATTCGATTCGAAAAAAGATTCGATTTTGCCCACCCTAGAGTAACAGCCATTTAATTTGGCTTTGATTTCTAATAAGTTTGTCAAAGCGGGTCGTAATCGTGGAGGATGCAAGGTGCAGTAGCTGCTTGAGATGATCGCCAGATATGTCCGGACTATTTTCGATAACTGGAACAAAATTAAAATAATTATTGAGTTATTTGATTTATATATAATATTCGGAAATGCGACAAAAACTGGAAATCCACGAAACCAAGCCAATGATTACAGCTAAAATCTTTCCAAGTGAAAAGTGTCTGAGTGGCCACGAAAACGCTTACTGTCGCGTCACTATTGCATCTTGTAGATTAGTCAACGCTAAGCAAATGAACGCGGGGGAATCCATTCAACTAACTAATAGACTCCCGCATTTAAATTTCAAGTCAATGATTAGTTTTCAATGAAATTTTTTTTTTGAAAGTAAATAATTTTCAAAGCATTAACAAAAGCCGCAGGAAAGGTTGTTGAGAGCCGCATGCATGTTGAATATTTGTGCTACACAATTCGAAGTGCTTACTATATATATAAAAAAGCAAATTTCTTCCCTTGGGCAGAATTCTTCCCCGATTGGGAAGCATTGGCAGGCCCCGAAGGTGTCTCATTTTACCACTTGTGCGTTGGAGTATTATTCGACAAGAAACTTAGCAGTCGCGGCAAAAAAATTTTGTAGACATGGCCAGTGGCGCAACCAGGCCGTTTTCAACGGGGGGGGGGTCCGACCGGAATTTACACAGTGCAACCACGACGTAAGTCGCAACGCCACTAGGTGTCGCCCCGCTGACCACTATAAATTGCTCATGGTTAAAAGGGAAACGCCATCGATTGAATCCCAGCCTTTCGCTTACCTTGCACTCGTTCATTAACGGCGCTTCGCTATGTCTTGCACCTCGTGGGTAGCAAAACGCCGTTCATTACATTCCAGCGAATTGCTAACGAAAAGCTGTTAATTATTTTCAACGATTTCCTCGCTTTGCGCCTCGTGGATAGTGAAACACGGCTTGAATAAATTCCAGTGTTTCCCTCGTGCCGCGCCTTGCTCGTTGGGTGAATTCGTCAATACTTAAAACAAGATGCACTTCTTACGAATGGACCTTTTCCCGACCCTAACCCCGGAAAAATTCTAAACTAAACTGAAGCTCACCGGAAGACATAATGACAATTAAAATAATTGATTTACAACTAATTTTTGGAAACACAACTAAAAACTGACTAATTTAATGCAGGGATGTCCAAATCGAATTTAAATTCAAATTTCGCAAACTTCAAATACTGTTTTTTCGTGTTTATAATAATCCCAAATATGGCGCACATATCCTAGGCGTCGTCGTCCATGTGTGGTTCGGCAATATATTACAGCTGACATGAAAGAATTTCGATAAACGCCGACTTGAAGAACTTATAAGACTTCGAGGACGTTTTTGATTGAAAATATTTTCTTATCGGGTATTTTAACTTAGTCGAGATGGTTTAGGCGTCCTCGGCAAATTGTGTCTTAATTAGTTGTTTTCATCCTCAGTTTCGATAGTGACCGAACATAACAGGAAATTTTTTCATTTCTTCTAATTTAGCGCGTATAAAATAGCTCTTAAATAGTATTTAATATCTATCGCAGATTTCGTCGGCATCCGGCATTGATAACAACATCAGTTCAGTTAAAGTTAGCGGTAGTCATTTACAAACAAAAATACATAACAGCCGACATGAAATATTCAAATCAGCGCAGAATTCAATAATAAAACACGTTTTATGGTCTTAATATGCACATAGAAAGAAGAAAGGACAGAGAAATAACGACTAAAAACTAAGAACGGTATGGTATGTTTGTGTACTTTTGTTTACCATCGTCATCATAATCAAATTAGTTAAACCCGATTCCCAAATTTCCGTCCGCCAATAATGGAGAATGAAGATGGAAAAACGTGTTTTACTTTTTGAGTCAGCGTTGATTTAAATTTTTCATGTTATGTGTTATAATTTTTTGATTATAAACCAATACCTCCAACTTAAAATGAACGATATTGTTATCAACGACGTCAGGACTCGGGCTAACGATAAAATCTCCGATAGAAACCAAATAATATTTAGAAGCTATTTTATAGATTGCAAGAAATTAAAAAATTTCCCGTTAAGTTCGATAACTATCGAAACTGAGGATGAAAACAATTAATTAGGACAGGATTTACTTTTAAGTTGATTGCCGAGACGCACAACATATCTTGACTAAATTGAAATATACGATAACAAATGTAAAAAAATTTCAACCAAAAACGTCCTCGACGTCTTATAAGCACTTCAAGTCAGAGTTTATTGAAAACCTTTCACGACGACTGTTAGTTATTGCCGTGCCACACATGGCTGCTTTCGATTGCGATAAAAAATGAATTAATTGTGGAATGTTTTTAAATCAGAACGTGGACGGGGGCGGTAGGATGTTTACGGCGTTTTCGGTTTTCATATGTAGAAAATCTTAGGTTATTACATTGCGTCAAGATGATGAAGCACGAGAGTATTCGTCATAAGCGAGAGAGAGAGATAGCATTATGCTATTGTCGCTTTCAATTCGCATCGACAGCGCGCGATTTTTACTTTTTTGAGATAACATATCTCATTTTCGAATACAAACATATACGCGGGGTTAGCGATTATTACGTAACTATCAGCAAAAAGGTATGATTGAAATCGGGCGGTGTTAAATTACGTCGAGGTGATAAAGCACTAGAAAAAAGTAGTTTTCACCGGATTGTTATGACCGTGGAACGACGTTGTTTTAACGTAGAACAATAATAAAAAAAAACGAAATTCAAACGGGGGGACACGACCCCCGTAACCCCCCCGCTGGTTGCGCCACTGGACATGGCAGCGTCAAAAATTGAGTATGTTCCTCATTTTTTTTTTCAATTTCAAGTGTTGCGTGGAAATTGCGCAACTGTAAAGGCCCTCTCATTCATCTTCTACTATCAAATCAGGCAAACTTTCTATGAAATGAGTAAGAAGAAAGTACAGAGTTATGCATTTTCATGAGCGTATTTTTAGCTACCACTCTGGTCAATTTTGACTTCCGTTATTTTCAGTTTTCAGTAAATCAATTTGATAAATTAGGTACCGGTAGGTCTTGTAAATTGCTCTAATATCCGGAAATACTGTACTCATCAAATAGTACTGATAGTGCAATTTCTATTTTGGGGATAACAGGGTAATTCAATAAATGATAGTATTTGAATTGATTTGAGGATAACTATTTTGCAGAAAACAATGAAGCTTAACATCCTCTCTTTTGTATGGCATACTAATTTAAAATCAGCATATATTGTGAAAGGGTGCGGTAAGCTAAAAAACATGAGTTTTTTCCTGAAAAATTTGGTGCCGCACGAACAAAAAGTTTGGAAACCGCTGATATAAACATTAAATAGGCAATTATAAAACTGGCAAAACAAAATGGTCTTCGAGGTGTAGTAGCAAACCTAATGTATATTTGATAATTTATAAGCAAGATACATATATTAATTTAGACTCTCGGATTTGAAATTAAACTTGCGGACCCTTGCGGACTGTATTGGCAGAATCTTTGAGTGCCACGGAGCTAATGTGGAGAACCATTGCTCTATTAATTATGCCGGCACCATAGGTTGTAGACCTCTGGTTCGAACCCATCCGCGTTTGAATTAAATTAGAACTTACTTTGGCTCTCAATTACAAATTTGTTGAATTGTCTATCAAATATTGACTGTGGATTCAATGCTTTTTCAGTTTCTTTCAGAAATTACAAATTCATGTCTTCACCAAAAGTTTGAAATTTTGACTCTTTACTCCAATATCAGTAAAATCATGTCACTCTCTAGAATCCGTCATCAAATACTAAATATAAATTACCTTCCCATCGCCATATCATCACACAAGGTATTTTGTAATGAACAAGTCAGATGTTCATAAAATGTTGAGTTGAGGTTATTATCATCCGATCATGGTCTTCTGTCTATCTGGGCTGCTAATCTTCTGTTAGAATGGCCCACTCTCTTTGTACTAAAAAATAGATCAACTGTGAGCATAAAATGTAGAAGGGTAATGAGATCTTGAGTAATAGTGAAGACTTTTTCAGCTAGTGCTCTGAAATGAAGCGATAACTACTGCCCACTTGTCATGACCGATACCAGCACCTAGGTATTGCATTATCGTGTCTTGCATTAATAAGACTCTAAAACATTGGTTCTCAAACCTTTAAAATCGCACCTCATTTATGAAATTCGTCAAGTCTTGTGTCAAACTCAAAAATAACAAGATAACACATTGAAAATATGTGGAATACGTAAATATCGAAATCTAACAAATATATTCATTTTTAATTACCGTATATAATTGCATATAAGCCGAGTTACTTTTCATAAACTAATACCGCAAACCTAAACTGAACGATATTATCATCAATGGCGCCAGGCTAACAAATAACATCGGCCATAGATACTAAATAATATTTAAGAGCTATTTCATAGGCTGAAAATGCAAAGATTTCCCGGTATGCTCGGTCACTATTGATGAAAACAATGAATTACGACACAATTTGCTTCTAAATTTATTGTCGTGGTCACCCATGATATCTTGACTATGTTAAAAATACAAAAATAATTGTAAAATATTTTCAATCAAAAACATCCTCGATGTGTTGTAAGTACTTCAAGTCGGCGCTCATTTAAATCCTCTCATGTCGACAGTAATTTAGTCGTGCCGTAAGGGGCTGTCTTCGAATACGAATACGATTAAACATAAAAATCGAAAAATGTTCTCAATCAAAATGTGTGTGCAATATGCCCTATTAATATAAACACTGAAAACGATACTAGAAGATAGCGAATAGCAATATTTGAATATTAAATTTGAATTGAACATCATCGACTGTAATAGTTGCTTACAGCATGTTACGATTTGGAGAGTCGGCTTATACGCAAATTTTTATAAATTTACTATTTTAATAAAGTCGTTTTTAGAAGGTCGTCTTATACGTGAGATTGGTTCATAAGTGAGGCTATACAGTAGCTGCACTCCAACTAACCTCTAGCGGGGCACACCCAACTGTTTGAGAACCACTGCTTTTAAATACCATAGCAATCTACGGACATAATATGTGTGGTAAACTGCCCGATTATAATTCATTTTTCATGCATATTTTTGCCATTCTGCGAAGTTATTATTTATTAATAAGCTACAAAGATCCGTGAAGAATCCCAAGAAATGTTTTTCATTCAATTAAGTATGATAATAATTGATTGAATATACTTAATAACATTGGTTAGCTTGATAATATGTCCATCATAGTTAGGGATGGGCAATTCAGAATACCGAATCCGGAGGATTAGAATTTAGCAGGATCTGACAATAGGTTGCGGTTTCTGCCTCTTCACCACCACGCGTCAATTTTTTATTTCAGGTTTCTAATTTAATATTCAAATATGAGCGTTTTCTCCCACGTGGAAATCTCACTGGTTTAATATTACTCGCATACCTTTGCGAAAAAAAAAAACTGTGAAATCAGCAAACATGGTAATCTCAAGTGGCATATTCAGAACAGCAGCGACTTAGTGGCGATATTCTGATAACGTGATTGCAGCAATCTTTATTAATATTTTATAGAAATGCCTTGCTTTATTTTACATTATATTATGTTTTGCGACCTGTGAGTTTTCCCAAAAAATGATGTAAACCAAAAGCCAGGCGGTAAATGTTACAATATTATTTGCGATTAGTTTAGATCAAATATTATTATTACTTTTAGGACACCAATTTCCAAGATACAAATTCCAAAGTTGTATAGCAAAACATGGCAATCTGTCAAATTTATTCTTCACTAAATAAATATAATTTATATCTTTTCTTGCTTCGTGGCAAATAATTTTGATAATGATAGTTAAAAGTATCGAATTTTACTAGGATGATTTTCTGTTGCGCAAAATATTCAAATCCGTGAACAATACCAGCATTCAAAATGCCTTACCATATTAATTTAATTTAATGTAACCCATGGCTGAGTCGGCATAGAAAAAAATAAAATCATTTGGCCTACTAGCATACTTTATTAAAATACCAGGGATATAAAATGCATATAAAATGTGTGGGCAATCTGCGGACATAAAATGTCTGGTAAATAGCCAGGTTGTGGATAACAATTATTCCATTGATTTTAAAAACAATTTCAAAATGAAAATATTGCAACGAATATGGTTCTCTTTCTGTTTCACAGTTAATAAATTCAAAATTACGCAACTTTTGACATAAATCCTGATTTTATCTAGTGAACTAAATTTGATAAAATTTGTAGGCTATTTGTGATTGCACAACACAATAGTTTTAAAATGAAGTAATCTCTTGGCTTAAATATGAGCAGAAGAAGGTAATTTCTGCCTATTATTAAAACCAATAACCTAACTGACAAAAAGTCTCGCGAGGATGTTTTAGAAGATTCAGCTTGTGTAAAAGTTCCGCTCAAATTCAATTCTCACAAGAAATTGAGCAATTTATGTCTTCATGTCCTTGAGTAAGATTAGACTAGGGCCTATAGTTAGACCAACCATACATCCCGGTTTAAACGTCTGTCCCGGTGTCCCGTCCCGGTTAGCAAAATGTCCCGGAATTTTACTTTAGTGAAATTTTCAAAATTAACTCCGACCTTATGCAAAATTATGAATAATTCCGTCCCAAAAGGCATAACTTTAACTCGAGGCTTATATCTTAATTTATTAGCTTATTAGGTTGAGTAAAATATCGCGCATAGCTTGAGAAATCCTTTGGTTAGGGAATAATGAGTGACGTTCATTTCGTCATTATTCTATTGACTCCAATGAAACTACAGCAATTGCTGCATCAGAAGCCTTATTATGCTTGGAGTTGGAGAAGGAATAATAACTTTCATTTGGTTTTGTTTGAGTCATATTATGCTGAAAGTAATCTAGAACTTGAGATTCTGTAGAGTAATGCAATATTAAAGCTTATAGATATAAATATGGAATAAAAATTTGCAAAGCTCAGGCCGCCGACCTTTCATCCAGTTATTTCATTCATAGTTTTGAGTTTGTCCCGGATTATGCCCAAGAAATTATGGTAAGTCTACCTATAGTGCTAGTATCGGTACATCGGGTCTGGTATAGTTTAGTACCACATGTACTTCTAGTTGACCTGGCTCAACAATTTTTGCATATGTCAATCCTAAGCCCCACCTGACTACGTCACCGAAAAATTACGTCATTTCGACGTCACAGTGGCGTAATAAGGCCCACCGAAGTATGCGGATGGTCGTCCAAAACGCGCAGACGATCACCCGAAATCGAGCAAGCAATTTCTCCCGTTTTCTTGTCACAACGATCACGATAGGAGAGAGATCGCCGGCTTTAACAAGTTCGTTATCGGCGGCGCAGATGACATTTCGGGCGATCGTAATTATACTTTGGCAATCCCTATGACGTGATGGTGACGTCGTAGTGACGTAATTTTTGGATGGCATAGTCAGGTGGGGGTTAGGAATAGCATATGCAAAATTCGTTATGCTACGCCCACCGGAAGTACTTGTGGTACTAAACTATACTAGACCCGGTACATCTTGGAGGTATTTGTAGACCATTAGCTTGTCTTCGCTGGTATCAGCTTGATATTAGGCCATTCGTTTGACTAACCTGGCTCAAGGAATCCATATTTCCAGTCTCGACGTCGCCTACAATTATTTTCCCATTTGTTTCTTCTGCCGGCATACCGTATGTTGATAGCTTCAATAGTTGCACTGTTTTGCCATTCCCGAGCCGAGCGACCCTTCATTTATTAGCAGAAGGCAACAGCCTAGCCGAGGGCGAGGATCACGCAGAACCGCTGTAAGATCGCAGGCGACGTTGATCGAAAATGGCGCCAATTTACATCGTTGCGCAATCTAGGTATAGAGGACTTGCACGGGTCACGTGACTTTGTTTACTAGACGGCAAAAAAACAAAAACGTCCATTTGGCTCCTGTCAGTTGCAAGTCGGATTATACGTTTCCGTTTTGTTTGGCTGTTGAAAATGGTTATTTCGTATTGTTCCGTTGGCTGTACGTATAGTATAGACAACGAAATGGATCTTCAGTTATATTCCACTGTTTTGAAAAGATCCGGAACGTCGCGCAATGTAGATATCATCTATTGGCAGGACTGCTTGGTGTCAAGTCCAGAAGTCATCTCGATTGTGTTTCACTGTTTGCGGACAGCACTTCGGTGATGGTGAGTGATGTCAAATCAAAGACAAATAGTGGATCCGGGATTTTATTCTGATTTTTATTTTTTACGCCGGGTTTGATCTTTCTCCCCAATTGTAAATTACCTATCCCAATTTTAAGCTAACAATGTTATCATTTTTGACGTAGGAATGCGGATATTTATGAAGACGATAGTTGACCTTCTTATGATTTTACTTTCCTATTGTGTCTGTTTTATTTTCGTATTTCCCTGCAGATGTTATTTTGAGTTTAAATAAAAGTCTAATAATAATTCCTTGGACAAATTTGGATCAAATTTCGCACAATAATTTGTTACCTTGTTTGACATTTTCAATTTTGCGAAACGGTGTTGGCGCGCATTATGCAAAACTGAGAATTAAAGCAATACCCAAATACCTGAAATACGACTCCTCAAATTTGTCGTTTTTGTTTGTTAGCAAGAGCCGTGTGGTAATTCTTGTGGAATTCAAGGGATTGGAATTGGAATCACTTGAAATAAATTCAAAAATGAAATCTCTTCGCGGCACACCAAAATCTTTTTGCTGTGGCGCGGCTACCTGGTTGGGAGCCACTGCCTTAAACAATACGCTCCGATTCACGGTACATACTTGCGACATTCACTAACGTTTATTACGTAATAATGTCTTCGGTAGCGCGTGTCGTGCTTTGGAGAAACACTGTAAAAGCAGGACATCAAAATTTTACTTTATATCAAGGTGCTTCTGTGCCGAGTTGTCTCACGGACCTCAGTTTGGCATGTTAGAATTTTGATGTAAAATTCAAATTTGGGCCATGTTTGACAAGATGTTATTATATGTTACCAACATACAATTTTTCCAAAACTTTTTTTTTCTGGTTCGAGTTTGGTCCGAGATGACTTCACAGTAAGTTCTTTTGGGATGTCTTACCTGAAAGTTAGACACGTAATCGAAAAGTACAGAATCTTTGAGTTTAAAACTGATATTTATTTTCAGTATTAACTTCGATGTTAAATTCTTGTTTGAGCCATGTTTGACAAGATATTATTATGTGTTCCCACTTCCCAACATACAAATTTGTTTAAAAATTGTATCGAGATGATTTCAAATGTGGCCGGCCGTTGAAAATCACAGAGGTTTTTGTGGAATACCGAGTGCAGCGAAATTTCGTCGTAAATTTGCAGCCTGCATACTGGCCAACACAAAACGATGTGGCTCAAGGCGCGGCGGTGTGGCTCAACGGGCTAAGCGTTAGGAATACGCTCGCCACCGCACCTCTAATTACTCTGCGTGGGTTCGCAGGTTCGAATCCCATGCAGGGATGGTTATGTGCGAGAGGATTGCTGGACTCCTCGCCGTCGTTGGGTGGTTCACGTAACCGCTGGTCGGTTACGGCTTCCTCCACCACCAAGTCCATGCTTCCGAAAACAAACAATACAGTAAAAACTAATCCCATACCCGACTTGGAATGGTAACCGGACGAGAGGCCGTGGTTCGCCATATGGATAAGCCGTCTTATCGGCTTTCCTCTCCCCCGGGATAAATATGTAAATCCTATCCTATCCTACTTCTATAATAAACATCGATATTGTTTTATACTGATTTGTTATTGTTCCATTATAATCTAACTCCATAAAAAATTATCGATATTATTTAATATTGTTTTTTCATTGTTTTTGTGGAAATAAATCTCTCTCTCTCTCCCTTTCTTCCGTCGTGGCTTTTATGTGCCATGTTGAATCGTTTTCTGGCAACGTTATTTTTCCGTTTCAAAAACGAGAGAGATGTCTGCTAGGGTAAATTTGGTCATTTTTAGTACCCGAGTACGGTACCGTACCGATACGTACTGTATCCATATGTTCATATTTATTTTTAATCATCAATGTATAACTTTATAGTAATACCGTACTGTATCAGGATAGGATTTTTCTATTCATCCAGGGGAGAGTCTGGTTAACCCTCTCTGGGCCCCTTTATCTTTTAGCAGTGAGAAAATCGGATATTTTTAGTGAAAGCAATACTTTTAGGTCATATATCAGTATATATTGAATTTTTGAAACTTTTCAACACTCCGACTCCCTGGGGGGATTTACCCGATGTTGCACTAGTGCAAGTTCGGGTCTCATGTAGTTTCTTACCTAACATACTTCTAGTGGGCGTACCGGTAGCATAAAAATTTTTTGATATGTCAATCCTAACCCCCATCTGATTACGCCATCCAAAAATTTAATCACTACGACATCACAATCACGGCATAGAGCTTGCCAAATATACGCACGATCGCCCGAAACGGCATTGGCGCCGACAATAAAAAACTGACTGACGTTATCGGTCTCTCTCCTATTGGAATCGTTGCGACGAGTGAACTACGGTAACTGTTCGATTCGGGTGGTCGTTTGCGCGTCTTGGATGCCTGGATGGCAGTACGTATAGTTTGAAGGGCTCTATTACGTCACTGTGACGTCGTAATGACGTAATTTTTGGATGGTGTAGTCAGGTGGGGGTTAGGATTGATCCGTGAAAAAATTTTCATGCTACGCCCACTAGAAGTATGTTAGGTAAGAAACTACATGAGACCCATGGATTGCAATACCTTTAGGGTGTTGTGAAAAATTCGGAGCAAAAGAAAAACTGTGCTCCCCCGAACGTTGAATTAGGTTTCTGTTTATCTGGGTGAACGGCGTCACACTCGGACTTTCAAAACACGACTAAGTTACAACTTTGGATTTGTTTCTAGATTGCTATTGTCTGTCCATATAAATTTCAACAGTCAAAATGCTGAAATGGTCTGATTTTTTAGGCTCAAAATCTTAGCTACATAAATATCGTTCTGGAAATTCTGTGTTTCAACGAGATCAGCGTCATCATATTCATAATTGTAAGTCTCAATTGCTTCTTTATCTGAAAGTGTGGCATTAGAAATACGTGCTAATTCAACGCAATTTCTGCAAATATTCTACCCGTCGGCATATTTACAATTCAAACAATTGTTCTGCTAGATCGCTGAAAATACAAATAGAAAATCTGAATCAATCTGAGACAGTGTCATACAAGCGTCCACAAATCCTGATGAAGTTTTCATGAAGCGCCTCTTGAATAAAATTCAGGAACTTTTTCATTTAGTGCTCCTCAATGTTGTTTAGAATGAAAAATGTTCATTAAAGCTTTGTTTACTGCATGCTATGGCTGTGCTTTTGCTTTTTCTCTGTTATTTGCTATGTGGTTTGTATAACAAAAAAAAACACCACCTAGCTGCCTAGACCTGCTCATCAGATAACCTCTTGCACTGTTATGTTCTGAGGTATCAGGTACCTTACAAATTTGGTATGATAATTAAATAGGAAGTACCTACTTTTCACTTCACTAGATGCTTCTTCAATCTAATTTTTAAGTTACGATATATCATAATATAAAATATCATGTTCAAGAAAACTTCCAAAAGAAATTTACGGCAACGAAAAGACTCTGATGGTGATGGTATAGATGGCATTGCATCAGAAGAAGGAAATAATGGCGTTAATATCGCTGCTTTGAAAGCAAAACAAAAGAAAAAAAGCAAGGCTAAAAGAGCAGAAACCACAAAGCCAGAGCAAAAAGCAATCCTAAGTTTTGGAGGTGATGAAGAAGAAGAAACTGAAACTTTTCAATTGAAAAAGTCTTCTAGAAGTCGCAGAATTGCCAAACAAATTAAAAAACTTGCACAAGAAGAACGAGATCAACCCGATTCGCCTGGAAGTGGTGAATATACGAAAGAGCATCTAGCTGAATTAAAGAAATCTTCTATGGCACCCCAGTCTCTGCAGTCTACGAATTCACCATCTCATCCTTTTGGGAGCATTTCTGAAAATAATACTCAAGATTCAAATACATTTGGACAACCTACCAATGGTGGGCTTAAAGAATTACGACCAGGTGAAATTCCAGATGCTAATCGAATTCATGCTGCTAGAAAACAGAGAGAGATGATGAGGAAATATGGCTCTGATTATATAGCAATTGAAAATACAGACTCGTACAAAACGAACCCCAATTCTCGACTTGTACGCGAAGATGATTTGGAAAGCAGTAGTGGGGATGAAGATGGTCCATCGGTTGCAATGAAAGGAGTTATTGATGATGGAGCAAGAGTAGTACAAGAAATCGGGAACGAAGGAGAAGAATCATTTAAAAGAGATGAAGAATTTGATCTGTGGGAGGCGCAAATGATCAAAAAGGGCATTAGCACTCAGCAAGTAGGAAAGTGGGTTGGGGAAGATGATTCACAACCCAGACCTGATAATAATATACCATACAATACTTATGTAACCAATGGGACTTATAATTCCTCTGATATTACAATGAACTACAAACCTACTATAAATGCTACACCTAAAATTGCCATGACTCCTGGTGAAACTGTGACAGCAATAAAGAAACGAATTTCTGAGAGATTGGAATCTGTGAAAGAGGTTCATCGTACTCATAAACAAGATGAAGAACGAGCTATCTTAGATGTGAAAGAGAGTGAAGATTCTGCTGTACAACTCGCTGATGTAACAACACTATCTAAGCAGTATACGTATTTCCAAGACATGAAAGCATATTTGACTGACCTAATTGATTGCCTCAGTGAGAAAAATGTGGAAATAGAGGCCCTAGAGAAAAGAAGGCATAAAATATGGAAGGAAAAAGCTGATGTGTTTCTTTCAAGAAGGTATGCAGTTTTTTCTTTTTTTGTTGTTGATATTCTCATAAGGCTAAACTAAATCACATTTGGAAAAAATTTCCCAATGCTAAGGAATCATTAGTACAAAGGATAAGATTTCTGGATCCATACGAAAATATTCTCTTAAATTATGTTACCTTGACTACCGCTATGTATATATTTTTAGCTTTGGTACCAATTATCGTAAGGAGAAATTTAAATTCGAGCTATTAGTATTACTTTATCAAGTTTGTACTCATTATGTTGGATACATGATGCTTGCATAAGATTTGGACACATTCAATATTTAAAAACATAAAATTGTGATATTTATTACCAACTATGCTTTCAGTTTTGCCAACCTCAAATTAACCTGATTATTCTTCGATTCATTCATAGACAACAAGATGTTGCAGATGAGTCGTCTGAAATTACTTGTGCACTTTCTAATGTTAAAATTGCTCCTTCTGCTGTCGATAAAAGCAAACAACTCAGAATAAGGGAACGGGAAGCAAGAAAGTCTAGAAGAAGAGCAGTGAGAGAACGCCTGGGTAGGTTTTGCGCTAATTTATTTATTTTTCCTATATTAATTAAGCTGCTGATATTGAGCTATTGCTACTTGGGCGCTCCAGAAGTATGTGTTCCAATATGGAGGTAACTTATTTTGTTCGCCTATTTTACATCGAGTTGTGTAAAGAGACTGAAGCCTATGAGCAGGGGTATGTATATTCACTTGGCTAACACGGACAGTCCCCGCCCCCCGGAACTCATAATATAACTAAAATAAGGAAAATCGGAATAACACTATGGCCTAACCCAGGGGTGGGCAACTTCTCTAGTCGACGGGCCAGATGTGGGAAAATGAAGTCCTCGGTGGGCCGGATAATAACATGAATAGTATTCAATATCTTAATCACATATTTATTCGCTAATGCAAGAAATAAAAAATTTAAATCGCGTTTAAAGTAAAGTTTATACTACAAATAAATAGAGACCAAAAAACCAATAATGAATTATCATAATGTACTAAAACTGTAATAATGTAATATCATAATGTACTGATGTACAGTCAGCGGGCCGGCCGGTCAAAATCTCGTCGTGGGCCGGACCCGGCCCGCGGGCCGTATGTTGCCCACCCCTGGCCTAACCCAAACCTGGTACAGATATTTTGTATTCTTCATTAGATTGCCTATTCTCATATCCAAATTTACCTTGTAACTAGGGCTGTCTAAAATTGAATATTTTTTTGATTGAAATCGAACTGAATATTATTGCACAATCCTAAATATATTTCCATCGTACAATAACAAACTCCCTCTTTTATATTGTGATAATATATGTGCAATTACATCTAAAATACTGCTGGTATTTTGCATAACTAAGTTTCAGGGTAATGACAGCGACAGGTGTTCACTAAGACAGTGGTTCCCAACCGCCGGTCCGCGGACCGGTGCCGGTCCGCGAAGCTTTTTTGCCGGTCCGCAAGAAGTTTTGTTGTTTTGTTGTTTTTATGCCGTTTCAATCGCTTTACCGTAGGCAAAGTTGCGTTGGCTCATTACGCAGTTCTCTTCTGCCGTCATATTACGACGTCTTTCGCGACATGTTGGCGCCGTATTACGCGACATCTTGGCGCCGATCACTCACACTTTTCGCTTTTCCAGCTCCGATTCATCGCGAATGCGCTCCATCAAATCTCGCAAAATTAAGAAGCCTAAAAATCGGCACGCGTGCCTTTACTGTTCTGCGTGCTTTTCCTGATTAATATGACCATTCATATGAAACGTAATGGATATCTCCTTGTTTAAACTAGAAAACAGTCAAGAACAGTATAATAATCCAGTAAGATATGAACTTGTTGCGACCCCACAGGTGGTCACGCGATACACGCAAAAAAAAGCACGAGCCGCAGAGATCTTTTCCAGACACACTAGGATTTTGAGCTTGTCGCCAAGTTATCGACGACTTTGTCATTGTAATGCAAATTCATTCCGTTTGAGGCGTCGATTAACTGCAGAGGGATTAATATGATGAACCCAATGAAAAAGAAAGGGCTTGATTAAAATTGTGATTCTTCTTTACAGTCCAGATTGAAAAAGAATTACTTATCACAATTTTAGATATCTCTTGATAACGAATACCCATCGCCAAGTAATCGAGTGCGAAAAAACATTCTCATCACTCGATTCAATTAAAACCTCACTTTGATTAAAACGAGGCAAGGAAATCGGCTGCACGCGGCTGCAGAGCTATGTGTTGCAAAAACTTCTTCTCCTTGTTCGCAATCTTGTATTGGAAACGAAACAGCAGCAAAATTCTCACAGAAGTTAATTGTGCATTATTTTAATGTGAGAATTTAATGCGTGCCTTTCTCACGCATAATGGGTGCCCAGCACTGCATTTCATTACGCAAATATATGGTATTATTTTATGTTTCACTCATTTTTAATATTTGGTCGACACATTATTTGATAGTTATTCTTCGTGTGAAATGTTTTAAAGTGTGCTTTTTTGTCTAGAAGCATATTGAGTGCCCGACATTGCATTATAAGACGCAAATATATGTTATTCTTTTCTGTTACGGCCATTTCAATTTTTGCCGGTCCGCGAGTACATTTAATCTAATTTTACCGCCAGGGTAGAAAGGTTGGGAACCGCTGCACTAAGAGGTCCCGATACTTCAATTTACTCAATTCCAATAGAATCAGTTTTGATAGGGCATGCAAAGCCTTTCGGGCTATTTTAATCCTATTATCATTAATCTTTAACTTTTATCTTTATCTTTTACTCTCTGTGTAATTTTTAGCAAAATGCTAACAATGATTAATACAGTATAAAGAACACCAGGTTCTCAGGAAATAGGGAGGTCACAAATTCCTGTTTAGTTTGATGACCTTATTGTTAATGTGCAACAACCATCAAAATGCATAAGTATAATTATTTTCAATGATAAAAGAGGACAACGTGTTGTAAGCTGATACAAAGTCCATTATAGGAAAGTATTGCCATATTAAGTACCTTCCACTACGTGTCCAACCTCGGGTTGCCGGTACCATGTTTTTTCTGACTATACTAATTTGTCTTTTTCGTCTTGTATACTATACTCTCTTTTCGTTTTAGGAACTCAGAAAGTTCATATTGATGGCACGTCTACTGATGAAGAAGAAAACTCAATGGACAAGGCTAGACATGCAACAGAATTGGACAGAATAGAAAAGTTCAAGAAAGAATTGTTTGAAGACGTTGTTGAGGATTTTTACGATGTTCAAATTATCCTAGGAAAATTCACCGATTGGCGTGAGAAACATCCAGATTCATACAATGATGCATTTATTGGACTTTGTCTACCAAAGCTTTTGTCACCTTTTGTTCGGCTAGCAATGTTGCATTGGAATCCGATAGATGCTGATTGTATACATTTTGAAGAAATGCAATGGTATAAAGACTTGCTGTTTTATGGTGTCAAAGATCAAGAAAATTTTGAAGCAACAAAAAATGAACCTGATACAAAAGTTCTTTCAAGTCTTTATGATAAAGTCGTTTTGCCAAAGCTAACTTTTCTAGTACAAGAAATATGGGACCCTTTATCGAGTAAGCAGTCACAAAGACTCTCGCTTTTGCTTTGTAGATTAGTGAGGACATATCCTTGCATGCGACCTGAACATCGAAGATGTAATGACTTAATATTAGCACTATGCACTCGTATGCAAAAAACTATTGATAATGATGTATTTGTTCCTCTCTTTCCTACATCAGCTCTCACAAATTTAGTATCTGGCCCAGGTGCATTTTTTGAAAAACAAACATGGTCTTGTATCAAGCTCTTCGAAAATATTTTATTTTTTAATGGCATACTATCACCTAAAGTACTACAAGAACTCGCGTTTACATCACTGCTAAATAGATACATCATGCTCTCACTGCAAACTTCTCCTATCACAACAGCATCAGTTTTGAAATGTCAGCGGATTGCAGAGGCGATTCCCACCGATTGGTTGAAGAATCCTGATGATATAGCAACTGATCTTAGCTCCTTTTCTCGTTATTTATTGCATAGTGCAAAACATATACATGGCCAACTATCTGTATGTAATGACCAAGATAAACGTAAAGCTCGTAGCTGCATCAATCAACTGGGAAAAATTTTGTCACATATAGGCTCTGATGAAAACTCGCAAGAAGTCTTAACCCTTTTGGGGATCAAAACACTTTTCTGAAATAACATTATGGTTGATATATAATGGTTTCTGATAGATTACTAAAAGTGCTGTTGTGTTTTGGTGAATAACATTGCCATATTTTAATAAATTTTCTTCAGTTTCTTGTTTATCGTGGTACTTCCAGTTGCAATAAAGTTCAGGTAATGGTCCAGATACGGAGCAGCACGCTTATTTCCCTTTACAGTATAGTACGGATTTAAGTGGTGGAGTGGCAGATGCTATTTCATAAAAATTTGATACAGTTCTGTCTGGCTATAAGTTGAATATGACATTTACGACTAGACGCCGGTATTACTTTACGTTAAGCTATTTAAAAATTGGCTCACATTTCCATGTGAACATGGGGCATTTCGCCTAAAACTCGATAATTAACGATTCAATCTGAAAATTTATGATTCAGCTCAACGAACGTGCTCTTTCTAAAACGATGACATATAGCCTTCATTTGGTTGTATGAATACGGAATTAGCAATAGCTGAATGAGAAGCAAAAATATGGATTGGTCCACAGTTGGGGACTGGGGTAGTAGGGAACTTTCCACAAATTTGAGAATGCTGCCATACGTAGAAGCTATGACTCAACCCGAAAATTGTTCGTGTGGATTATTCAAAACATTGAGACCGGAAATTTGATGTATATATAGAGTAGTGTATAAACATTGACGAAAGTTTAGATGCCCGATATGAATTTTTCGAGTATACCGTTTTAGCCTTTGTTTGCAATTGTGCGCTTGTTGCAGTAGTTTGGATGCAACCGTCGAATCTTCAAGTCACTTATCTGCTATTTGGCCCTTTCAGATGAATGGTCTGAATTGTAAAACAATTTTATATTACCTTTTTCATTGTTGTTTGATGCGACAAGTTACTTATTAAACGACTTGGCATCTTTTGCCCCAGACAGTATTTTACTGGTACTAAAAGTACAATTATTCAATTCGTTTATTACTCCAGACCGCTGTGGTCCATATAAAAACAACACAACAAATAAACATAAGCAAAACAAAAATAACGCAATAAATACATCAAATACCTGATATGACAATCAGATTCACAGTAAGTCTCAAAAAAGAGTTATAATATAGCAATTCAAGAGACCAAAAGTGAGGTATAGAATCTAAGGTAGCCCGTAACAAACAGTATCTGGAAATCAAATAATGATTGTAATAGAATGTTATTGGAGTTCCTGCATCTCGTCATGAACAACCACAGATTATTGATTTTTACGAGGCTATTTGAATGAAAATTGGTGCAGGTCTTCTTTATTCAGGAAAACATTCTTCTGTTAACATTTTTATATCTTTTTCATCAACCATTTCATATATTTCTATGGGAGTTCCATGTCTTCTGTGAAAATAATTTGTTGGAGCTTGATTTTCCATGCAATTAGTACACAGTGTACGAATACAGCTACTTTATCTGGTACATACAACTTATGTAAGGATAGTTTTATTTCCTCGTTATTTTCTTTACTAATATTTTGTCCACATCAGGCGCTATTTATCTTTTTTGAAAGTGATGCCATATCCATTTCTTGGTAGTTGTACTTACTGATCACTGTACTATAGGGTAAAAATGTCCCTATCGGCGTGTTCTTTCTCCAGTACTATTAAACGTACTTTAGCGGACTCCTCCATAAGCACTGAATAGATTGTCAAGTTGCACAATCGATTTGAACCAAATAACGTAATAACAGATAACGAAATACGAAAATTTTCCATCCTTTGAGTATTTCTTTTTACTCTTTTATATAAATGATTTTTAGAACTTAATCAAAAATTAGGAAGTCCGTTTCACGGTGGGTAAATAAACTGTGAACCATGATTTGAACATGTAATGCCTTTGATGCCGCCATTGGGAAATACGTGAAACCATTTCGATAATTTTTTTTTGTGAAAACGACGTAATTTGACCCCGAATTCAATCCTGTTACCGGACCTCGACACTGGTCAGTAGTGGTGATCTTATTTATACCTCTTTATTTAGCTGGGTTATTTGCCGTGTTTTGTCGCAAAAATCTTAGAGACAACCGAGATTTGAGGCAAAGTACGAATGGGTGAAAAGGAAGATAAATTATACATATCAAATGATAAACTATTTTAAAATTTCAATTGGAAACCAAAATCACCATGACAGCCGAGAAAATGTTAATAAACAAAATAAAAATATGCCTGCTCGAAATCCAATTTTTTTTAACTACCGGTAAATTCTGTGTTTGAAACTAAAAAACTAGTAGAAATTCGTGGATCGCCAATTTTAACAAATCAATCTCAGATTTTCGGGATTACTCTTTGTTTATGATTCTTTGCATTTTTTCTTGTCTACAACAAAGATTTTTAAGTATTACATCAACGTAAATTAATTGCTGATTAGTTAAGGAAGTATACACACAAGCCCATGCTTGGCATAACATGTATTACGGTATCTATATTTTGGATAGATTTAAAAATATAAATAACATATTGTGCCTTTAGACTAGAGATTCATTATAATGTTTTTCATCGAAACATTACAATCAAAGCGGGAGAAAAACAAATGACCCCCTTTGTTCGAGTGTATAGCACGTTTTCATACGAGAACATACTTGGCCGATGTCTTCGGCGTGATTCAGCAGCAACAAACGAGACAAGCTATTTCTGCTCGACATAACGGAGGAACTGTTGTTCTTTTGCAGCGTCGCTCTCAATTTTTGATCGTGGAAAGTTCGTCTCTGCTAGTAAAAAAGTATGCTGCGTCTTGCAAATTCAATATTGAAATCAAGCATTAATTTCAATGTGAAATCTACAAATTTGGGGTGAGTAAATAATGTAGGCATTCATGTGTATACAAACTATGTCTTTATTTATTTAAACCGTAGGTTTTGAACCTTACTTCAGTACTTAGGGGTTTGTTTGCTCTACTGAATCTATAATCAGTTTTTGTTTATCTGTTTTTATCAATTATTTTATTGCCTGTTATGGGGTCGGAAGAAACTTATTCTTGTCTAACAGATAAAATCACACACACAAAGCAAATAATTATATACAATTGCTTTTTGTATAGCGAAGCTTATTTTCAATGAGGGTCTGATTTTTTTGTGTAAATTTATTTTGTTAACCTGATAAATTTCCGCAGCTGAGACATTTTATTGATGGTTTCCTAATCTCACTGTTTTCTTGTATAACAAAAAGGGTATAACAAATGATATGTACGATTTGTTAATATATCTCAAAAGATTTTCAGTCTGTTGCAATATTACTCTTGTTCAACCTCTGTTACATACTAAGTCAGTAGGTTGCTATCTAGCAGACTTTCAGCCCAGTACATTTCAATCACTCATCATCATTGGTTGGTGATTTTATATCTAGCTTGTACATTTTTCCAGTAAATAAAAAGCTTGCAATTCGACTCCAGGTAATTCTTGGATATAAGTATATGTGAACTTTTTCGAGATAAGTTACTACAAAATTAATTGGTTTTTGAAAACAAAAACCTTGCAACATACCAGTTGGAATGATCAGCATTCTAATGATAAATTATTTTACCAGAATTTTTTCACCAAAAGCATGGAATACAAATCTCTTTTCTGCGACATGGTTTTCTCTACATTCTGCTGATGACAGGCGACCCAAACAGCCGTTGAATGCCTTTATGGTATTTTTACAAGAACAAAGGCCAACGATGAAAATCTCAGGAAAGCCAAGTAAGGCGATAATGCCTTGCTGTTTTACAATTATTAACAGCCCTTAGCATGGTTGATGCTTATGGTAGGATGTGCTCAAAGTAGGGATGTTATAAATTTAAAATACTTGAAATTCATAATGTTTATTACCTGAAAAAGCATTTAAGTGAGCTGAAAAATATTATTTTCGTTGGTGATAAGTGTATTGAACCAAGCTTTATTAAATGAATTGGGGTTGACTTTTTAATATCTGAAAATGTCTGCACTATGTACAACTCACATAAAGTCAATTTTTATACACCAGATGAAAATGCTGGATCTTTGTAAAATGTTCAATGATTAGAACATTTTTATTGTTTTGTTCCGGAGTTTAACACAGCCTATTTGAAAACTATTCATTTAACAGTATTTGAATAAATTCAAAAATGATTATGTTTAATTATGGCAAATTCTTTGATTTCAAAATAATGAAATGCTGAATGCATGTAATGAACACCATAAGTTTCATCACTTTCCTGTCTCTGGAATGAATATTTAAAATTGATCTAACCCACAATTTTCGCAGAGATGAGTCTTGCTTATGCTTTGAGCAAATTCTTTTGGGAAGAAAAATATTTTATAATATTTACATCTTTATTATGGTATATATATACAATATACATATGTCAAGCAATTTAGGAGAAAAAACAGACAGTGGTCCGGTTTTTTTATAGAAGTCAAATATTGTAGAAAATAGGGGATCAAACAATAACAAAATTTCTTTGCATTATCAAATTTTATTCTGTAAATATAAAGTGAATCATGCAAATTCATTGATTGAATATCGCCTAATTAAAATTCCTTATATTTGAAAATATCTCATCTGTGGATTTTAAACAGTGATGTACGGTAATTAGATTTTTGCATACTGGTTTTAAAGAAAACTAATATCAATAGTACATAACTAAATAATTGTTTTGTTTCTTACCTTTTTTAAATCATTTGCTAGTTCATGATGTGAGAACAGGAAATTATTCGGAAGGAAATAGCAAATCATCTGCTAAATTTATGCACTTAGACGTTGAACTTGATTGAAATAGGCTCATGTTATTAGATTTTGATGTTAAAGTTGTTAGTAATATTCATGTTTTTTTTTTGATGCTAATGATTTGACACATAACACGATGATAACTAGATAACGATTTTTCTTGTCGATAGATTCAATATCAAAGTGTTTTTCAGTTTTTGACATCCATTGAATTTAATTTTTCTTCGTAACATAAACAGGATTTGTTCTATTATCTCAAGCAGACCTGTTTAAACATTCATGACCTTTATACATATCATATTTAAAAAAAAAACTTTTATCGTTTTTTAGGTGAAACCGTCAAATTTGTTGCTTCAAAATGGAAGGAAATGTCAGAAACTGATAAAAAGGTCAGTGTGATTCAAATTTGTAGTTTTAGAATTTATATAAAAAAGATCTCATAAGGCTCAAAGGAATTCAATTGAGACAATGTAGTGGCAGTAGTAATTGCTCTTTATAATAATTGCGATGACATGCCATAATAGATCATTTGAGAAGTCGGAGCGGGTCTTGAACTTGAATCTTGATGTATTAAGACATCCAATTGACGAACCGGAATACACCATTGTATTACGCAAACAATTTTTTTCGTATGGACTGTTGATGTTTTGAGATTATAAATTCTATTTCTTTAGCCATATAAGAACAAGCAGAAAGTACTCCAAGAACAATATCGTGCAGAATGTGCTTCGTATAAGGCACTTCTTTCAATAGAAGAAAAGAAGTCACTTCTTGAGGACTTCCGTGAAAAGAAGAAAATGAAGCATAGGAAATCACATAAAAAGGTAACTTATATCGAAATATCCTTCTAAGGTATTTTTGACCCCATACTAATAATGTATTGTGAAGATTAGAAGGATAAAGTTTTTAATATCGGATTCAATTTAGTTGTGTGACTATAAGCTTGCCCATGTTTTATGAGCTTCCTCTCAACTACTTGAGGAATAGAATCTTTTTTATTCGATATATTGCCTGACTGATTTATTGCCTTGTGGTTGATGGGATGGGCATGGGGTTTGAACCAAAGATTTTGAGCGCGAAATATTGGCTCTTTTAAACCTCGTCTTCAATTCCAGCAAGTCCGTCACAGTGGTTCACCGAAAAGAAACAGGAGTGCATATTCCATATATGTAAGTGCTCGATTTTCCACTGTAAAAGTTCGAACATGGAGTGAAATAATGGAGTTGATGAAGGATGCCAGTAGTACATGGAAAACGATGTTTACTCATCAAAAACAGGTAGAGTAATTGCTTGTTAAATGAATGATGATTCAACTACAGGTTGTGTGTGAACAAAAATTTATTGTAAAGTGGTTCATATGTGCCAAGCAGTCACTTCTTGTGGGGGCTACTATCTTTTAGAGAGAAATCATTCCAATTTGGCGTAGAACGAAATATCTTTACTTGAATTTTTTCCCCAAAAATGAACTTGGTGTAATTCTCACCCTCATGACAGTATTGACTTGAATTGTTCCATGCCCTCTTTCAGTTTTTTCTATTGACTTTCTTGTTGTGATGATGAACCTTAATTCATTCAGCTGTCACTATTCAGTGGTTGCATTTGCATATAACTCTTGAAGTCTCTGAATCTTATTTTGATCAAATTTGCATAAAAAAGGGTGTTGTCAGCGATCATATGTAATGTCCCCATTCAAAAATTATATCATATTCTTTAGCCATACATTGATGAGGCAGCCAAGGACAAAGAACGGTATGATAAAGAGATGGAAGAGTACATAGAAAGAATGAAGATTGAAGAGAAGATTCATCTTTTACCGGTGAAATATCAGAAACAGATAAAGATTCAGGGAAGAAAGCAAAGAGCTAAGAAAAGCTGAAGTTTAATTTGGCAGTGCATGTGTCAAGAAAATTGTTCTTTATCTTCAATGCCCATTTGTATTATGGAAACTTCTCGACCACGGCTGTGACCAAGCTACTGTTTCACTGCTATGCTAACAGTTCTGCATGATGTATTACACATTGAGTTAGTATTTCAATCTAATGTGGGCATTTTCCCAGTGGCTTGCTTTTTTATAAAACCACGAAGAGTTTGATTTTGCGATCACTATTTTGCCATTAAATCATTCTATATAGCGGACCTCCAGAAGTATGTACACCAAGATGGCGCACAACCTGAACATAGTAATTGTACCAGGTTCAGGTTGTGCGCCATCTTGGTGCACATCCTTCGGGAGCACCAAAAATGTATCTTTGCGTCTTTTCCAAATAGCTTCGATTTTAAATTCTGCCTATATCAAATTCTACAGTCATTCCAAGCCGCAGTTTGGCAACAAAGTGTCACTTTAAGTCAATCCCGGTTCATAATGACCCACGAAACTTATATTATTGCAATAAGTTCAGTTGTCCTTTTTTATTATTCATGATTGTACACCTGTCTATTTTCAACCATACTACAAACTGAACTACAGAGCCGTAAATGGTACATAGTCAACAATCAATATACTATTTCCAAATAGTATGTTGAAGTATGGAATACTAATATATTGGGTAATGCGCAACAGAGTACTTAGCAGAAATATTTGCTGGAAATTAAATCTGCTAACATAGAATCGTTTAAACGTTTTGATTGATTTTCCTTTTTCAGTGTCTTTAGTCTAACTTTGTTTGACGATCAGATATATGTCAGATAAATTTCCACATGAAAATATTTTTATTTCTTCCTAAAATAATATCTTCATTATTTAGAAAACAATTAATTCCGGCTGTACAGGGTGGGGCAAAAAATTTTTTTAAATGTAGGATGTTTTTTGTCTCAACTTGTCATTTTGGTCATACTTTTGGATATCATTTACATAGCTAACAGTGTATTGTATTCTCTTTTGTCTGAACTTGTAGTATTAGTTAAATATGAATATAAAGATGGCATATGGATATGATCATTTCTATATACACGGAATACTGATTCAATCACCTGTTATCGAAGTTGACCTATGATAACATAGTTAATTTTCTTTCAAATACTTGTTAGTCCATGTATGTTATATGTATTCACAACAAAATTCAGGTTGTATGTAATTTGACTTTGTTTTCGCGTTGCTTTTAATTACATTGGCTGATAAAAGACAGTTTATTATGTGTTTTATGTTTATTCTGATATATTTCAAATGTGATTCTATATACTAGGATAGAAAAACAATGCAACGTGCAGCCGGGTGCTGGAAGTTTTAGTTGACATTTTTATCTGTTATTGGGTCTATGGTACCATTACCCTGAAATTATTTTTCCATGTTATTTTACATAAATTTTATACTGGTTGAACAAGGAAAAATAATGCCCTACTAAAACTTTCTTGTTCTCCAATTTCTATTATGGATTTATGGATATACCACTGTCCACTGTATCAAACGTAAAACTCTCGTCCACAGATTGGGCAGTTGAGGTTGATATGATAACAGATTTAGCATAGGTGACTCAATATACTTACTTGGTTTAAAAAGATATTAAAAAATTCAACATGTGTTTCTTAATCTATTTCTTGCATTCTTGTATGCAAGTTTTGATTATGACCCACCTTTCTTCTGCTATTCCTCGAAGCTGGTATATTTTACTCTTTCGTCTAAACTGCAATCCTGCTGACCATGTTATGTACCCAAGTACATTACATTTTTTTTATCTCATTTACCTATTCTGTTATATTTTTATGTTCAATATTTGGACGTTTATTACTTGGAATGAATAACCACAATAAACTTCTAACTATCAAACAACCTTTACTGAAATACCTGTATTGTCATACTAAGTCTCATAGTATGCATCTGACATACTCAGGGGAAATAGTGCAGGATGGACTTCATTCACAGGTATTATACTTCTGGTTTATAAGCTGGCGCGGCAGTGTGTCTCGGCCCATCGTGCTAAGCGTTAGGAATACAACCGCTACCGCACCTCTGGTGGGTTCGAATCCCATGCAAGGGTGTTTATGCGCGAGAGGATAGTTGGACTTCTCGCCGCCGTATGGTGGTTCACGTCTCCACCATCGAGCCCTTGCTTCCGAAAAACAAGATAACTAACTAATTCTATACCCGACATGGACTGGTAACCGGATGTCCGTTGACAATCGTGGGTGTGCAGCAAGTTCATAGACCGTTACTTGTTTCAGATCTATACGGTTGGTGGAGGAAGCCGTAACGGACCAGCTACTGCGAAGAGTGCAACAATCCTCTCCGCACATAACGATCCCCGCATGGCATTCGAACCTTCCTAACGCTTAGCACATGCGCTGCACTGCCGAACCATGTACAATGAAATGAGTAGGGAAGGTGCTAACGGTAGTTATGTATTTTTATTGCCCAGTTGCCAACGAGCCGGGGCAAAATAATTGTGTTTTTTTCTTTCTTGTTGCATGCTTTACACATTTTTTCATCAATTAAGCGCCAATGCAACTTTCTTTTTGTTGCGTGGTTTTGCATACCGTGAGGGATAACTATGTGCGTGAAGATTGCTAGACTCCACGCCGCCCTAGAGTGGTTCACGTAACCGCTGGGCGGTTGCGGCTTTCTCCACCATTAAGTCAATGCATCCGAAACAAATAACTGGCCCACTATTTCTCTCCTCTGTGATAAATACGTAAATCCCGCCCTAAGTTTTAGGTTAAATCCGCCAGAGTGTTATGTTTTCATAAGTCAGTGGTTCCTAAACTTTTTCCTGCGACCTCAATATTTGTAAAATGAAAAACTACAGACATTCGCTACCCCATTCCGAAAAACGCAGATATAAACGTTTACATTCACGTGGATAGTGAACATTGACTCAAAATCTGAAAACATCTGAATTAGTACGACAATTTTTCGGTGAAACTTAGACGGACAGACGTGGTAGATTGGGAGAAAGCGTGAGATAGTTTTGCGATAAAACCTTTTAAATTTGAGGTAAATGGTACGAATATGATGTTCACATATTAAATTTTATTTAAAATATAATCCTATGTAATAATATAAACAACTTTGCTGATTAACCACAAATTGTAATTTCTCGAGGCAGTATTTCTCGCTGTTATGCAGTGTAGTTTGAACTTGATTTCTCATCAATCTACGTTATCAACTGTTTCAAAGCCTCCCTCCCCGCCACGAAAAAATTCTTCACTTTCTTCACCTGGTGCCCCAGCGTTGAACTCACCATCGACATCCTCAACTCTCACTTCGATTGGTGGGATCTGTGTCATTTCTTCATTCTCGTTCAGGTCCGGATGATCATCATGGATCTCTGAACCTGCATACGCAGATGACACTGAAATTGCGTCAAACTCGTACAAGGAGGAGGTTGAACTGAAAGGACTGACATTTGGCACTGTTAAACCTCCACGCCCTGAAGTGTTCTGAAATAATTTAATAAAACGTAAAAAACTTTGGAAATACAATGAACGTCTAAGAGTTTTTATATTTATAGTAGGAAGAGGTAAACCTCTGAGACGCCAGGAGGACATTCGTTTCACAATCAGTGTGTACACCAATCACTATCTTCCACTGATCCCATCAAAAGAGGCATAAATCGCTATCAACTTTTATGCTTATTTTTTTTACCGTTGCAGTTTGGTGGATTGCGTAGTTAGTCTTTATATTAAAACTGAATCTTGGAATCATGGAGTAGGCACCAAATCAAGACTATTTCAACTTGAAACCCTGCTAAGAACAGGCCAAACTGCTAACGAGGAAAATTTTTGCCCCCTTAGTTTACGAGCGCTCTAGCGTATTAACAAAACGGAAGTTTTCGATATTTGGTGAATGCCAGTTTTCTGGTTTTATGTGAATGTTAGTGGTTCACTAACACATTAAAAGGTAAAGACTTTTGGAGAATAGAATCCTGAATACATGATGTGCTATGCATATCGTGATGTCAGCGCTTCTAACCATGTATGACTTTATACCTAATTAGTTGATTGTAACAAATCCACATACTTGCATGATGTAGATGCCCCAATTAACTAGCGGCTGTGGGAGCCCTCTACGATGGCGAGAATTCTGCCTAAGAAAACTATCACTGTGGTAGCAAAAGCAATCTATGCGCAAACTGCCGATTCAAATTTTGGTACCTTTACTTAATTTTCTCATTATATCAGCACCTTTCTTAGTAAAGAGACTGATAAGGGAAACTTCGATTACCACAGGCCAAACACTTACCTCTACATTTTCGTCCGCTCCAGTTCCACCTCCTCTGCTGCGGCGATGATGACGTTTGTTTAATCCCTTATCAGTTTGTAATTTCCTCAAATAATCATTCACTTTTGCTTTGATAACTTCATCTTCAAATTTTACATTTCTCGGAAATGCCGAATCCGTCTGAGAGAGAAATAATATATATATATGAATAAATAAATTTCAGCTAGTTTTCATTTCAACCCCCAATGCGGCTTGCAATCATTTATTTTGGCGACTCAATTCGGAGTTAAAAGCCTCGGGTGCCGACGACTAATCTTAATAACCCCCTGTCGCTGTGTTCTGGACTAAAACAAGAGAGCGATGCTCGATTTCAAAGTAAAAAACGAATCACATAAAGCCCACAGGACGTTTTGAAATAAATAAAAGTGATAGCCTTCTAGCAAAACATACAATTTATACCTGCTGAAAATTTTAGAGCAATTGGTCCAGTAGTTAATGACAACAAGAAAAAAAATACCAACAAGAACGATAATAACAAAACGATCCATGTGTTCAATAATGAATATCATTCCGAGGAAAGTATATCTATGAATTCGGATTGGAGGTTTGATTGTAGAGTCGTATTTTCTAATGCGTCAGTATTTTGGTGCAAATTTTCAAGACACGAAACGCTTGAAACTTACTCCGACTAAGTCCAATTGAATAATAACGATTGGTATGTCGCATGTACTTGCAAACTGTGTTTTCTAATAAATGTATACTTTGAAGTACAAATACTCACGACCTCTCTGTACGGTGAACATCGACCACCTTGTTTTGTTGCAGGTGTTGTTAGTCTTTGTGGTCGAGATGAAGGAATGTTGTGTGGTCGTTGGATTAGTGGAGTTCGTATCTAAAATACACCAGCCAAGAAATTGTCATAATTATGAACGTAGAAACCACTTTATCGCACAACGTGACTACAGTTGTCTTGATGTCTAAACATCCGCCGCGGTGAAAAGGCATATATATGACATTGGTATTTGCTAAGCACTACATCATTTGTTGCTTACCTTAATCCATTGGAAATTCCCTATGAAACAATCTTTAAACTTACGAGTATGTCTTTACTCGGCATTATTTTAATAGTATGTATATAATACTTACCAGCGGAGTGCCGACTTGTCTCGATGAAGCATATACCGTGTGGAGTGACGAAGCATACATGGAAACGTTTTCGATCTAAAATTATATGAATGGGAACAAATAGACTTTGCGATACACATATAACGCAGTAGTAAATCTAGAAAAATAATAATTAGTAATAAATAATTCTCCCAGCTACTAGGTCACTATAAGAACAGTGGTACACACTTGATTTCGGTCCACCTATTGCGATTCCCATGAGCGGTCCATTGATCCAAAGTTAAAGGAGAACATGCGCACTACAGCGTATAAATTCAAGGCGTACTACCGCCGGTATACATACTACAACTAACTTGATTCAAAATTTTCACAATAATTCATATATATAAACTATATTATTTCAGGAAAGGTTTGGTCAATCTATATATATAATCTATATTTTGACATGGTGTTGATTTGAGACAGTTCGGTCGTTGCATCTTTCGTGAATGGGCGCTGGTGAAGTCAAAATTTTCTACAGTTACAACGTTTTCAACAGTCGGTAGGAGGAGGCTCCAAAATTTAGTCTGATCCGAGTTCGGAGCTAAAATCAAACTCAAAATTTTTCACAACCCCGGGTTAAAGTCAAATATTTTTTTAACCCAAGTCGGCAGTTGTACTTGATTGTCAGATTTCTCTGACTCCACAACGACGACTGAATGTCAAAGTTACATAATTTAATGCACTGTTTGAGCACTATTTTTGTACGTTTAGTACGACAAACGATCAATGGAATCCATTGGGGACATTTTGACATCAATTGGATTAAATTTCTAGAACAATGGTCGCGAGCTTGAACTTCGAATCTTTGATATATAATTCTTTGCTTAATTTTTAAAAACGACTCAACAATCGATATTCCTTTATTTAATTTACACGGTATTCATTTGGTCGCGGAGTTTAATTACGCCTTTGTAATTCGAATGTCGCCCGAATAAAGGTACAGCCGATAATGAGACAAATTCCCGTGTCGATTCGTCGCTGGGACGGACTTGCGAGTGTTCCTATTTTCCAGTCCTTTCATATAGATTAGTAAGATTACCGAAAGGCAAGAGATCATAAATCTTAAAATGCTGTAAGCTAGTTCAAAATTAGTTGATATTAAGACTATATTGAGTGCATGCGGAGCTTCTTTGCTGATTGGGTGAATTTGGCCATATAGCCAAACGAATATATAAAATGTTCAATCGCAATCATATGAGTTTGGGTCAGAGGAATCGACAATTTTAATATTCGTATGAGCAAGCTGGAGTACTCACCCTTTGTGCATTGGATGAAGTTCGCTTTGGTGGACGGCGTGCCTGTAAAGAATGGAAGTAATATACTTAGTAATATTTGTTAGTTATTTAGAGTAGTGACTTGTATACTATTTATTGAGTGCTACTTACTTATATATGTTTATATCATTTAAGTATTTCGCATGCATAAATGTAGGATTATTGTGCGTGACGTTTGTCAAATGTCTGATTTAGAAACAGATTTTCAAGCAGTAGCATACCTTTCTTCTATGAATTTGTTCAAGGCAGTATTTCCTACATCTTATAGTAATTTTCATAATAAGGAATCCAAGTACTGCAAGCCCACCAATTCCGAGTACTGCAAAACAAGATTTTATAAAGATCAATATGTGGTAACACAAGGAATGTAGGAAAATTAAATGATATATTCCTTTTCATTACTATTCGTTATTTTTTTACCGAGTTAGTTTAGAATAATTATGCAGTTATGGAACGAATAAAATATGGTCTCCAGTTGCCATTTAAATAGATTCCTTCGGGGTCATTAGAGCTTCCATTTACAGCACGTTTGATGTTACTTTCTGCCAGCAAAGGATTCTGCGTATTATAAACTTTTTATCCTGTCAAGTTTAACTACCGGCTTAACTACTTTGGGGTGGATATTCGCATTAGGTTGATTAAAATAAATGAACAGTCTTGTAATAAACAGATCACGAAATGTACAAAGACGCAGGCAGTTCCAATTCTTATTGGAACAAACAAGATTCACAATATGCATTCACAACCATTGAGTTTCATTCAACCATCCAACATAAATGTTCAAATCGCCAAGGAGCTGTCGTGAAAGTCGCGTCGTCAGTTTTTGATTGAAAATATATTTCTACGCTCTATATAAATTTATTGTTTTAAAATTGACATTTTGTGTCCAAAGTGGAAGAGAGAGTCTGTGCATTTAATTCAATTTCACAAGCCGCAAAATAGTGTTTCATTTTCAGACTGACAGCGAAAATTCAATAAACGTAAAGTAATTATCCATCCCGAATGACAAAAAAAGATAAATATCATTTTATGGTACACGGCCACTCATGGGTGTAAAATAAACTCGAAGTCATTAGCGAAATTTGCCATATGCAAATTTTTTATTTGTTTTGTTATCTTCTGTCCACACATAATTCAAATCTGATTTGTAATCATATTGCACTAAACATTCCAATTTGAAAAGCTTGTCTATATGTTAGGATGACTGACGCGGGAAGTCAACGCAAATTAGGTTTTCAATATATTAGATACTGTTGGTAATTGTGCTCTCACGCTGTCACTTAATTGGCCAGTTCAAATCATAGATTATTTCATATGAATTTAGTATTATGACTAAGACGGTTTCAAAATTTTGTACAAGGATCGTCGAAAACTTTGTTTGGTAATTTAAACGTTACAATGTGCCATAATTATTATCTAATTTCAGCGGAAAAAACTGTGAGAAAATGATGTGGGTAGAAAATACTTCGGTTTGTTTCGGAAATTAATGGGTCTGTTTTCGTTCAAGCAAAATACTTATCCAAGCTTAATTATGTTTGTGTCACTTCATAAAGATTTTTATTTCAACCATCATGTCCACTGCCTCATTTAGGCTGTAATCAATTGAATGAGGGACCGGGGTGCTTTCGGTTCTACCTAGAATTGTAGTTATGCCTGACACTTTGTCTGGAGTTGTGATGTTGTGAAAGTTCATTATTTTTTGTAGCTATAATCCTTTTTTTTCATCCGCTAACACAATCCGCAAAAATAGAATTAATATCTCACTTATAAATCCAATTACATTTCTTATTTCCCGTGGCGTGTAGGGACAGACTTCATTCGTATCCGAATTCTCCGAGATTCCAGGACATGAACGTCGACACTGAAAGGTAGTCGATAAAGGTTATTAAGTAAATTGACAAGTTGAAGGCGAATCATATTGTAATAGCTTACCGCAGTTACAGTCCTTGAAAAGACTGAAGATAGAATAGCGACATTTACTGATCTGAAATACTTATAAGACATGCTTTCTGTAGAGAGAAAAACATATATATTTTGAATAATATACACGGAATTTTGATATTTGTATATATATATATATATATATATATATATATATATAGGAACTGTTGACATGAACGTAGGGTTTATCCTATATTTCTAGCTGATTAAGCAGAAATTGTGAGATTGTAAGATTTGTGAGCAGTTTTTCATCATTAACCAACTAGATAGTTGATTAGAAACTCAGATATTGTTGGGAATGGCAGATGATTATATCAGATAAAAGCTCGAATTTTAAATGTTTATTATTAATACCCCCTATGTCCTATTCGACATCGGAACCTCAATATTTTAAAACAGACATATAGGACACCAGACGTTTTGGCTAATTGCACTGCGATAATGCTGCATAGCGAGATTTGGTTGGAAGCTGAGCCAAACGAAAATATGATTGCTTTGAAAATAATTGATATATATATATATATATATCAAGAAAGTGATACGTGGCTTTGGAACACTGCACAAATCTCGGAAAAAACACTTTCTTGTGTCTGTACGCAGTTTCCATTACTGCTGTACCGATAGTGTATCTTTTTGACCTTGGTGACCCCGCTCACAGCACAGTAAAATATTTTTATATAATTACTTTATATCTGCCTCGTTTAAACTTTGTATTGTTATATTTGTCGATATAACCCTATTTACAAATGATAGTACAAATATAGCCTAATCGTACAAATTTATCTCAGTGCTGCGCAGTTGTTTCATTATTGCTCATTAAACCCCACCAATTCAGTTTACGCGTAGAAAACGATATACACTGTCCAAAAATATATCTGTCATTCTAAAACTTATTTTCTTTCCTAGCATTTTTATTTTTATCCTTTCCTCCCAAACCTTTTCAAAAATGTAAACTTATTTAATGCAGGACTCTAAATTTTACTGACTTGTACTGTTTTGGCAGAATACATTAATGAGAAATGTTCCACGATATGACCGGATCAATACATTTAGCGTAATCATGTGACAAACTTTGTTCCATCAAACTGTATATTGATTACATGATTACATCGCACTTTTGAGATGTAAACTATTTAATATATTGTCTTATTATTGGAAGCTTAGAATTATTGAACTGGCTTACGATTTGTCCACCACACTTAGAAAAAAATGTTGATCAGACGTGCAGACAAAAACTAGCGCATTGTTATTTTGAAGCACATTGAATCTGCGAAAATCTAACATTCATAACTCATGTGAATTGACATTGATCGATCTTCTTGATGTTTTGCCATCATCGCATTCTTGGAAATGTTCTATTTTTATCCTCATGTGAGATAGCTAAAATAAAATTGAAATGCTGGAATTTACAAGTAAGCCTATATAAATAAACCAATAACAGAAACCGGCGAAATAGTCATAAATTAATTCATCGGATGCGACAAAATTAGGTGTTATTATACAGATAGGTCTTTCCCCAGGTTGTTTAAACTGAATTTTCTCATATAAAATTGACCAATGTGCGATATTACATTTGCTATGTCATGTAATATTACGCTTCATTTTTGTTCTTTAAAAAAATACACGTTGCCATGATATTCGAATCGAAAATGATGAAGTGTTTCGCATGTTGAAATCGAGTTACTTATGCAGATGGCTAATAATGTTGCGTCACTCTTACATCATTTTTGTGACGTTTCAACTGGCAAGGGCTGTGAAGTCGGAGTTTGTTGCTATTTTCTTCAGTCTGAAAATGATTCTATATTTGGTTATGTATACCTGCTTCTTTTGGTGACAATTTGCATAAGATGAAAACAATCAAGAGAGAAATGCTTGAATACATGGATAATTGACTAATCAGTCAAATTGTTTGAAAAAATTTAATCTCCACGAGAGGCCGTGCCTTCGTTTGCCGCCGATATGAAATTTTATCAAAATTAATTTTTTTTCATTCAAATTAATTCGTTGACAAATTAACTTAAATACTTATTTTGTGAAAAAAAATCAGCCAAATTATCGGCACTGTGTGATTTTATGTTTATTCTATGTCTCGAAAATTTACACATTATTATCATTTAGCAGATCGATGAATATTTCAGAATGATGCTACGTTTAATCTTTTTTTAGAAACTTGTTTATTCGAAACGTAAATTAAAATGGTATAACGGTATTAAACATGGCACCAATATCACCACCAAAAGAAAATTCAGGAGTTGTTCTTTGTGAAGACGTAACTTCGCATTCTTGTGAGTCGTAGAGGAATTTTTGTACAATCTAATATTTTTAATTCAGCCTTTTGGTCTTATGAAATAAAAATACGTAGAAACCTTAAATAATCTTGAAATGTCGTGATTCTATTTCAAAAAGATATTTAAAATTGATTTTGTTATAATAATACTTTCTGACTTCATTAGTTCATACATGCAAATCAGGGAATTTTCACTAGTTTTATTGGGTCCGCGATGATAAAAAGCTTGTCGACACCTCTTATAAATGCTTACATATAAATCGTTTGCATCGTGGGATTCAAACTTGCATTTCGCTGGAAAATCGATATATATTTTTAGGCACATTTGAAGAGTTTTTTTTCTGTAAAATTTTGAAGAATGTTTTTGTATTTTCAACGTTCATAGATATATTGTTGTCCACTTTCCATGAATATAGTTTTCCAGGTTTTATGTGTATTATATGATCTATCCGTTATTATAAGGAGGGCATTTATTCGTAACGGATATTAATGAAGATTGTTAATGCGTTCGTTGCAAATGCATTTGGGGCAGATTTCATCTATCCCTCATACGTAGCTAAAATATATATACACTAAATATTACTTCCTTGACATACAGTAGTTTTTAAGTCCAGATATCGAAATGAGGGACAAGTCTATCTGGCTCTGCGCCTTTAAACCGGACCCGTTTAACTTCAGATTATCAACTCGTCACAGCTTCACTCGAGCAGCGCTTATTCGTACTTATATATTAGTCACACACTCATATATTTATTTTTTTTTGAAACAGACTGGGCCGTTCTCCTTGCTGCAGCACTACTAATCTACAGATTCTACAGATATTTTATTTCATATAGAAGAGCAAAGAAATATCATAGGTATTTTTGTTATGTTATTAAGTAATAAAAAAAATTCTATGAAACATTTTTCATTTCTGGAGGGCGCCCACAAAATATTGGCATTGCAGGGCAAAATATAAAACTTGCAAATGGTACAGTCCTATACAATGTATAAGATGGTCTCTGCAAATAAAAATTGAGATTCCGTAATGTCTATATATAAACTCCAACTTTCGTTCATTTAAGGAAATGTAATTATCTACATATATATATGTCTTCAAATTGCTTGACTTCAATCTGTGTCATATATTTATATAAGTGATTTTTGTGATTCAAATTGCGGTTGGGAGGGAAATATCTACAGTTATTGTGATATTGCATCTCCGAGTATTTCCGATAGCTAGTAAATTGATTTCGGGTTTTAAATTTTTACAATATTTCCCCTGATCTTCTTCGTCGTAATGTTCGAACGCCCACGTGCGGAATTCAAATATTCGATCAATTAGATAAGATATCAGTTTTATCCCGGGGAGGGGAATACTACGGCTTCTCGTCCGGTTACTAATTCATGTCGGGTACGGCCGTAACCAACCAGCGATTACGTTCCCACACTAAGGCGGGGTGAGGAGTCCAGCAATACTATCGTGTACAATTATCCCACAAGGGATTCAAACCTGCCAACTTGCACAGGGTAATCAGAGGTGCGATGGTAAGTTTATTTCAAACAATTGTGTGCCAATTGTGTACACAACATCTCATCTCGTTTCGGAAATAATTATTAAAAAGCCGCTAAAGTAAATGCAAACACTGTTTGTTCACTCTACAAATTATTAAAATATTGCACTTGGTTGTTAGTTTCATAAGTTTCATTGCATTGTTTCATTGTTTCATAACGGGCGTTTATCTCAGAGTGTTCATATGATATTCACAGAAGAGTAGGAGTTCGGTGGCATTATTGCGATCAACGACAAGTCATCAACACAATCTCAAGGTGAAGAAATAGGAGGAAGAATGGACCTCGTAAAAAACGACAAGAAATATTCCGAGTGTGTATCGTATTGGGGGCCAAACACATACTCATATCCACAAGTAAAGAATGTATTTCTAACATCTTATCATCACTAACAGCATAAAGACTGCTAAGCTATGAAAAATATACGATTTTAAAATGTAATTCTGAACCATTGGGGCCCCCCGCGGTCGCTTAATGGTCCGTGAAGGGATTTTAGAGGGACCGCGAAGCAGCTTTGATACAGAAACATTGCTGAGTAAACTTTTGATTTCATGCTATTACGGTGTTTCTCGAAAATATGACGCCTTATTGATTTGAATAAGTAAGAAATGTTGGTGAACGTAGCAAGTACAGGTACCATAAATGAATGGCGATCTTTATTTTTGAAGGCATGTGTAGGTACCTCATCGTCAATCGTCAATAATCCATAGTGCGGTGTGGATTGTAGACATTTAGGCTAAGTTTCAAGGTTGGAAATCAGTTCGAATAACATGTGGACGAAATGAACTTCCGTCTGTTTGTCTAATTATGCAAATAAAGCGATTCTGAATTCGAAATTATGTTGTTTCACTCACATGCGAGATGGCTTTAAAAGGGGAAGCGCTGAAAAAAGTTTTAGTAAATAGTCTACTTGGAAAAATACACGATTTACTGCAAGAAGTAAAACATGAAGTGCGCTGGAAATTCTCCAATGCTTGTTTTCTGGTACGCCACTCGCTATTGAAACAAATTTCCGAAACATAATAAAAATGAGTTTGATATGAGAGTGGCGCTATCCCTAGCAGAACCCAAAATGGATGAACTGGTGGAAGCCAAGCAATTGCATCCATCCAATTGGGAATTCTCCATCCATCTGTTGGTCTTATGGCTAGGGTTTTGTTTTTTATTAATTCTAAAAAAACATCGTGTTTTAAAACAAAGGCTTGGTTTAAATCAATTTTTTTCTGTATTTTTTATTGAGATACCCCTTGCTTCGCCGCGAAATACGCCAAAACGTCGCATTCTGGCAGCTGCACACGCCGCCGGGATTATAATTTCAAAAATGTAAGTAAAAATTCCTTCCTTTAACTTTTACTTCTATTGCGTACATTTATCGCCACGTGTATCTCCACCAAAGTCATGAGTTTTTAACCGAAAAGTTTATCCGAGATATCAGAGAGACGTTTTGAGTAAGAAAAATCATGTAACTTAGTTCACGAGCCTACTACAAAAGCAATTAGACCAAGGGCAGCCTTGGGCAAAACGAGTGGTTTGCGATAATGAAGAATATGGTTACATCGGCGACAATCTACTGATATAAACGATGAGATACCCTAGCTAGCCTATGCTAATTGTAAAAGTCCTCTGTTGCGAAGACGCCACAACTAATCTGTTATGACGCATAATACGGATTTCGAGTTCATGTATTGGCATTTTTCTCATAAAATGAATGCATTATTACGATTAATACTGTTCGGTTGATTTATGCTTAGCATACTTTGTTTTTGAAGTTGAAGTGATAGAGTTTTTCGAGGTTATACAAACTCATTTATTCGATTGCATTTCAATTTTCGCAAAATAGTTTCGTCTTAGCGGGGTTTTTAACGTAACGGCTTATCGTTTGCGTCTTACTGCGCAAACCGCTGAACTACAGCTTGAGAAGGTGTGAAGGCCTCTATCGATATTTATGGCGTTTTGAAGGATTTATTGCAAATAAGAAGCGCTTGGCAAGTTTTCACATCCATTTTTCTTCAACTTATTTTATACAAAAAAAATCGAATAGTACAGCCATTTTGAACAAAACCGGCAAAAAAAAACTGAATTTAAAGCAATTGTTTTAAAACAATTCTTTTTGAACAGATCCCTACTTATGGCTCTTTAATTAATATAACCGCTACTATATATATAATATCTGGTGAACGGTGTTAGTTAGATATTTCATATGGTACTCATCGTCACTATCAGTAGTTTCAAAACTCTAGAATTCTAACTTTTTTAATTAGATATTAGAACCTCGGGTATCACTGCTCGTTAACCAGTTTTGGTTCTCCGCGACTTTCCTTCCCAGGTAGAACTGTGTAAATTATCATTTTCTCGTAATTTGTGCTTGTGATACTTTTATTTACTGGTTGGAAAAAATAAACTTGACTTGACTTGCGCCCATTGAACTGTTCTAATGACATGCAATAAACGAATGCTTGATATGTGTTTGCTATTTTGAATTCTTTAGTGGACTGCGAGTCATCAGAAAAATTTTAAGAGGACCATTATGCATATTTTTTTAAAAAGATTGAGCACCACTGTTCTGAACGATCGATATTTTAGAAAATACATGTACAAATCCATACTCAGCAAAAGAAATTTACTAACAATATAAAAACTTAGTCAACAAAAAGGATACTTGGGTTTTAGCGATACTCTCAGCCAAAAATATATAAACATTTCCAAAATATACTATTTGAATTATTTATAAGTTTGGATTATCTTTTTTCGACAGTCTCAGGTATCTCATTTGCTTTTAATAATGCAAAATAGGGCTTGTTACCTCGAAATTCAAGAGCATTTTTGAATGAAATTGCTATGATATTGTCGCAATTTACTCTGCTTACTCACTTTTTTTTATAAAAGAGAAACTTATTCCGTGCGCTGGAAAATATTGTGAATTCGAAGCGATTGTCACTACTTCCTAAAATATAGATTTTCTTATATATATTATTTTGATTGAATTCGAAATTGTTGAATGCCATTTAATAGTCGTTCTTAATATTTCTCGTATATGCAACTAAGGTTGAATCAGGAGCTATTCAATTAGAAAATGGCTGATTAATCATCGCGCGGATTAATCCTCATTAGGTGAATATATATTAGAAAAGGTAGTACTATGATAGTTAGAGGTCAGAATTGATTGTAACCCCTAACCAAAAATGGTTAACTATTTGAAGCCCCACTTATGAGATGAGAAAAGATGACCGTTTTTTTCGAATCCCATTACGTTGTCACAAATTGCAACAACATCGAGATCAGAATTTCCTAAACAGGACGCTTTAAGGAAACTTAAGGCGTTCCTTCGTCTTTCCAGATATCCCCCTCGTGGGTAAATGAATAATCACTTCAAACACCGTTTCTCCACACAGTGGTGTTTCGACAACTTCATTATTGTCAGGTTATTTTGTGTTCATTGTACCGTATCATTTTCAACAAAATATATGTGCCAGTTTTATTCAAAAACGCTCTCCACACTACTATACTTTTTAATTGAAAGTGAAAATTAATTTTTATTTGGATTTGTGCCTTGAGAAACGAACATTTTTGCTATAACTAAAGCTGAATGTGTACTAAACATATTGGGAACCATGTGTTAAATAGTTTTTTGGAATATAAGCAGAACTAAAAAACTTTTTATAGCAAATCGACTGAAATAGACGCAATGAACGACGAATAATTTCAGTAAAATGTCATTTGTGTGAAACTTATTATATGATTACTCTTTCATAAAATAATGAAGTATTTGCTTTCAGGAAAAAATTAGCCCGCAATGTGAAATTAATTCTTTAATCCGACTTAAACATCTAGTGTACGCTAAAGTCGCTCATATTACATAAAGTGAACCTGCAATATGTATGTAATGTATTGTCGTTTGCTATTGCGTTGTGATTTATGGCTTAAGGGCCAACAGTACAGACTACTTGTTGACACTCAATTTTTATTATTTCCGGTCTAGTCTATTTGCAACCACAACGACAGTTCTTTACAACGAGTCCCAAAGTCTTCACGTGGTATTTCCCCAACTTTACCTCACCATTGTCATTACCAGAAAAATCACCTTAACCACTTCAGGTTTGGTCTCGTTTAAGATTGAACTGAAAACTTACTTGTTCAAATTATCAGGCAAATATTGATGAAGAAAAACGTGAGAAGTTAAACTGAATCTGATGTAAATGATTTTGGACAATGGGTTGTCGAACTACTTCTGTGGTACGTTATAAATAATTTAAATTATTGTGTTCGTGTTCAATCACCACATTAATTAATGCGTATACAGGGAAAGCTAATCCGATTACATACTAATAACATAGATTATTGATTTCGATTTTAAACATATGGGATCGAAGACGGTTTTCTAAGTAGCGACATATTCATCCCCTCAGGGACCTGATAACGACACGTAATTGTCATTTTCAGGCAAACCCAACCGTGAACAGCACTCGGTATTTCCTCGAGAAACGTATTCAATGAAGCGCTTAATCGACTTAGAGAATATATATATATATATAACACGGTCGATATAACTGGCTTTAAATGCGGTCGCACAATAGATCCGCAGCTCGATGGCTGTAAGTGGGTCGTAGGCTATTTAGGAAGGCATTCGTTAAATTGGTGGCGAAGTTGTTAGACCTATTTCGTTCTACATAACGCAACTAGTTGAGTCAGAAAGTGCGACTCACAGTTTTGGGTAGTTTTATAGAAGTACATGCCACGACTGCTTCAATATACTGGGTCCTGATTTTCACTTATAACTTTGTTCATGAACGTAAAGGTATAGCGAAACACGTGGCATTGCCAGCAGTGTGCACTCGAATATTAATAATTTTCAGCGCGCTATAGCCTACGTTAGAAGCAGCAGCAGGGCACTGGCGAGAACACGAAACATATTTGCCAGGGGAACTCGAAAAGTTATATTTGCTTTGGAAACTTGGATATGGCGGGAAAATTAACCAAATAGTGCAAAACTAGCTCGTAGAGACTAGAAGCTATTACTTTATTGAGATAGATTGCCTTATGGCGTATCGAGGCTTGGACTTTGCTGAATAGGTTTAAATTTTGAGATTAATAAAATGTTCGGGTAATTATTTGACACCAAACATTTTTTACTTGAGACATCAATAATAGTCATATGGCGTCCAAACGCGCAAAAATCACAGACGACGCTCAAAGCTAGGCCGACTTTTACTAAAATTTGATAACCATAATATAGGCCGACTAATATTCAATTCGGTTCACGGTTAGGAATATGTCTTTTTTTGGTTTGGTTTGCTGAATAGATTTTTGTGGTCGTAATTTTGTATTGACACGAGTTGTATGTAGGCCTACATGTGTTCAACATGGCATCGCACGATTAACCGGATATAAATAGTGCCAGTACAAACAGATTATACTTGTATGCAGTATAAACTATTTCAAGGAAATGATACACGATTACATTCTACTATTGTTTAAAAGCGAGTCGCATCTGAACGGCAACGGCTTTTATACTGGTATTGATTTTTTACGAAGTAATATAAAAGTTAACATTTTTAGTCGATTTCCTAGTTCAGGCATTTTATGTAGAATACAGTGCAAATTTGTTTACAAAGGTATTTTATACAATATTTGCAGAGATTAATATATATAATAACAGTAAATTGTCTGTGACTCATGGCCAACTTGAGACCCGTCGTTATAAGTGGTCCTTCAGGGTGTGGGAAAAGTACGTTGTTGAACATATTGTTTAAAAATTACAAAGATGCTTTCGGCTTCAGTGTATCTCATACTTCAAGATCTCCCAGAGAAGGAGAAATTGACGGCCAACATTATAACTTTTCAACGCGAGAACAAATGAGGAAAGAAATACAAGAAGGGAAATTCATCGAACATGCGGAATTTTCAGAAAATTTATATGGAACAAGCAAGAAAGCTGTCGAAGATGTTTTAGAAAACAAAATTTGTATTCTTGACATTGAAGAGCAAGGTGTGCGAAGTATTAAAGCATCTCATCTGGACGCGCTTTTCGTTTTCGTAAAACCACCCTCTATAGATGAACTACGGAACCGACTGGTGAAGCGTGGTACAGAAACCGAAGAGGCTATTGAAAAACGAATGGCTACCGCAAAATCTGCTATCGAGTTTAGTCAAACGCCAGGAGTGTACGATCTGATCGTCGTGAACGACAATTTACAACACGCTTACCAAGAACTCGAAACTTTTTTGACGGAAAAAATTGAACCATTGAAAGAAATGCGTACGCCGTTAGAAGCCGATCAAGCACAGACTGGCCAATGCATGCTGTTATGACTTTTATACCATACATATTTTACACTTGGTTTGGATTGTTTATGTGTTACGTGCAATTGATCGACTATGTAAGTTTGTGCCGTATAGGATTTCATTTTTATATAAATACTCTGTTTCAAGCGGCATATATAAATTATGCATAATCACATCGTATTGCTTCTGAGGACCATACTCACATATCATATTTTATTCACCAATTTCTTACCCATTGGCAGTATTTTTCTATGTTTACTTATGCATTTTGACTATCTTAATGAGTTTGCTTTATTGATATAACGTATGCTTCCATTGTGCTATGGTGGTTCAACTATTTACAAAAGCAAATGAATGAAATCTGTCCTTTGTACATGGATCAGAGAGCGATTATGAGTGAAAGAAGGCATTTATAATATGCGCCCGCCTCTTCTCGAAGATTTCCTATGATACTTGCCAGGCGCCCAAATAAAACCAAAAACACATGAAAATTATCGCATCGAGAAAGATATTTAGATAGTATAACAATGTGAACTGAGAAAGCCTACGAGCGCTGTCTGTCTATCACTCAAGATATTTTTAGATTTGTGTGCGCACGAGCAAAAAATGAGGAACCCCAGGCAACCCACATAACCATTTCCAGTTCGTACTTACGTAACATGCTTTGACGAAGTGACATTAAACCAGGGGTCACCAAACTACGGCCCGCGGGCCGGATCCGGCCCGCTGCGTCATTTTATCCGGCCCGCGATAACACGCAAAAATGGCGAAATATTCCAAAGGAAATTGTCCCGAGCATCGTCTTCCTTGTTTATTTCGTAAAATTGGCCAATCAGCAAGATGCAAAAGAGTGACGTGATAATACCCCTTTTCGCATTCGCTCAGACACTTTTGTCACCCTGACAGATTTTCAGTCGTGGTTGTAAACAATACTTCGTTAGTTTTAGGTTGTGTTTGGGAAGGTGACCGTACATTTGAACCCACGTACATTTGAACCCATGTGTATATCCACGGGTTCAATCTATATGCGGGTGCTAAAACCCATGGGTTAGGGTTAGTATGGGTTCAACTATCCGAAAAACAAAAAATATTCCATAGGTGCAATAGCATACAGGTGCAATTGTCATGGGTTCAAATGTAATGGAACCGTTTGGGAAATTTAAGTATGGATCAAACAAATTAAGTCAGTCATCATTTGCCTCCTTAGGAGTTACAGTTTTAATAGTAGTGATGAAAAATTAGTCTAGAAATAGCAGTGACAAAATAGGTTAAAATTTTCTACCAGTATGCAACGTTGTCTGCGAAAGATACACTCGTGACGCGTGCTTTCGACGAAACTGTTTACGTTTCTTGTGCTAAAATGAACGTCGAATGTGCATTTTGCGCTAACAGTACTGTAATCCCTCGCGTACTGCTCCAATTTCACAAGTCACACCAATGACATTAAACAACATGATGCGCAACTCCGGCATTTTTGGCCGAAGATCGTATTCGATAGCACGCTCCAATGCACATACTTGACGAGACGAAAACGAGCGAATGTGTGCTGCTTTCAAGGCATAGCACGAATGGTGTTCGTGCCTGCTTTGACAGTTGTTGTCGATTTTAATGATATATTGGAAAATTGAAGGTAAAAGAAATCGGAAAAAAGTAAGGTAAATACTATTGTTGTATATCACACTCGGGCATCGCACTGTTAAGTACATGTGGGAAAGCCAGCTTTTGTCAAATACTACGAAGTTATTAAATCAGTACGGTACGTAGTTGCCCATTTGCCGAAATTGCTTATTTACTTACCCCTTATGGTTTCAAATAGTTTCATACACCTCCATTTCGATTTTTTTTAATCAGTGAGGATATATACTCATTGCTGTAACATACTATTGCTCATTCACTTTATTTGCGTATTGAATCAAAGGGTTAACAAGTTCACCTAACATTTCACTCATACCCGTCTATATTGTATAGTCTGATCTCTCAAGTATTTGGAGCCACCGATGCTTGTAATTTTCTGACTAAACCCCTTTATTAGTTGGTTTATATACCAAATTCAGTAAAACATTTTTTACATAAAACATGAGATATTGGATTTATTAGCTTTTCCAATCTAAATCATATAGACTGCTTTATTTATTCTGAACGAAAATTATTGAATCTCCTCTCTTTCTTCAGATGTGAAAGTTTTGGAAAAACCTGTCTAAGCATTGTGGGACTCCTACAGCACAAGAGGCAATAGCAAAAATAGTAAGTATATCAATCAAGAAATTAAGCCGACATAAAGCAAAACTTTTAACTATTCGTCCAACCTCAATTTCCTAATATTTATTCACAGGACAACTGTAGCAGAAGGGGATATTTCAGAAGTCTGGCGACATATCAGTGACAGTGTGATTCCAAGAAATACAATCAGAATACTCCATAAATGTTTGCAATAGAAGAACAACCTATGGAGGCATGCAAAGACATATGAACCTCCGGTAGAGTTGTGTATGGCCCCTACATCCCGCAGGGCTTGAGGAAAATAACTAAAAATTCCGAAGCGTAAGATTGCGGTCTTCTTTGTAAAAAGGCACAAAACATGCCAGACATACTTAAAACAGCTTTGGAAAATGAGGATTATGGGTCACTCACTACACCTGTGTTATATTTGATTCATCAACTTTTGGTAGTATTAAAGAAGAAATTCAGGAAAGGGTATAATTATGATTCATGATAAAATACTGTTATATATTTTGGACAACTTCAATCTAGACCAGGGATATCAAACTCGCGGCCTCAGAGAACTTCCAGTGAGGCCCTCGAACGCTTAACAATAATTGTAATAGTATTTTGGAGTTTTTTTTTATCTAAGTGTAATAGATTTTTCAACCTTTTTAAAGTGAAATTGAATATTCACACAGAAAGCAATTTACTGAAAGTAGTTTTGGAAAATTAATTTTTTTTGTTCACATTTTGACCCAATTAAGAATACACATCAAGCTAGCAAAAGGATACTTGAATAAAACACTTGAGTGAATAAATTAAACGCAAAGTACATGAAGAAGGTGGCATTTTCGAAGAAAATGGGAGTTGCAATATTTCTGCATTTCACAAAATTTTGAAGCACATTGTTTAACTTGTCATATTTCCATCAGTACAATGAAAAACACAATAAGCTCAGCAGTCAATATGACAATTTCGAAGACCAACTTCGAACAGAAAATTTCCATGTGTTTGTATATTAATATAAATATACAACGACTTAGTTACTAAAAATCAATTCAAGCAATCCTATACTATGCAATGTGGCGCGAAATGTCTTGTCGAAAATATCTGTCATTTGTTTTTCTACTGATCTATTCATGAAATGATAAAAGTAACTTTTTTGCATTACTGGAATTAATTAAACATTCGCAAAGTTCCAGATTAACCCATGATCATGTGACCTCGTTAGTTAGAGTTGGTACCATAAAATCATTTCAGCTTGGCCTTAGTATGCTGGTGACACAAAGAGATGCCAAACGTCAGGACAAATGTAATTAAACAAAACATTGAGTTTATACTGTAGTATTTTTGTTAATTTTAAGTCCATATATTTAGATTAAGTCATTTTTAGTGTATGTATTATTCTTTCCTTATCCAAAGCTTGTTCAAAAATGATTTTGATGGTTGTATAAAGAATTTTATGATTTTTTGTAATAAATACAGTAACTTGCAATAATAGTGGAATGCAAATATTAATATGTAATTGCATTTGAAATTAAAGAAAATAATAAAACTTAATCAACTGTTTAGTTGCATCACAATATATGTCACAAACTAAAACTATCTGAAAAACATATCTTTCAAGTATACATTATCAAAAAGTGTTTTCGGCCCTTTTTACAATTTCCAAAATGCAATGCGGCTCTCGAAAACCCATGCGTTTGACACCACTGATCTATTCTAGACAATTCAAGCATTGCTTTGGGAAATAATATCACTTCAATTAAATTGAAAAAAATCTCGCTCGCAGCCACTCGGAATATATTGGCCTTCACAAAGCAATGGAGGCAAAATTGAGAGTTCGTGAGCTATGAACTTTTGTTCTTTTCTTTGTCTTGAACTTTTCATACTCCACAGCCCCTATTAATTTTTTTTTAATTTTAATTACCATGTGATGGTCATACATATCTTTAACTTGTATTTTCTGTCATGATGTATTATCTCAATGTGTCAAACCGTAGTAATATATATTTACGGTCAAACTTTTAATTAGTGTGCATATTTTGCTTCCAGAAGACATAAATGTACAGTATTGTCTTGTTTATTACCTCAGCTTGGAGTATTGACAAGAAAAAGGTGCCCGTAAAACTCTTTGTTATAATCAGAATTCACAATTAATAGGAATCATAAACAGCCAACATTCAATGAGAATTATATGCCAAATCCCTCAGAATAAATTTGTCTTCTAAAATCGGAGGAAGGCAAAACATATAGGTAGTTTCCATTCATACAAGTCTTTCAAGAAGACTTACTCGAGCCAAACTAAATGAGCATCGTCAGATGATCGGTAAGGCTGCAAGTTGAATCAGCCCTGCAACCTCCCGCATAGAAGATATTAATTAGTGGGCTATGAACTAAATTCCTACATTTAGACACAAACCTATCTACGAGGCATTATGTACCAGCAATGTTACCTACGGTTAACTAAATATGTAATTATGTCTAATAAATTAACCTACTAAAGCAAGTTCGATAGGTGCAAACTAGTGTTATGGAATTGTATCACAGCACCGTTAAGAGAAGTAAAAACAGTTTTGCTGTTTTGTATGACACTCTCTTTAAATGAAATTTCAATGTTTAAGCGCAAACATTAAAATTACTAACTTTTAACTTTGTCATTATCTGCAAAATGTTCCACAAAATCTTTACGCTATCGCGTTTGTAATCTTCTCTGATAAAAAAAAACGTCTATGATGTCCAGAATTACTCTTTACAGCTTGTCTGCCATTCCAGCTTTCCAAGTGAGCAAAACTTCTTAGATATAGAGATTATTTTCTTTCGTTACAGGCGCAAAAAGGCAGGCACTACACGTAAAGAAGACGCCGGGTAGCAAAAGCGAGCGGAAAACGGTCGCGAAAGGCTACGAGAAATATGTGCATTGGAGCGTATCATGAAATACAATCTTTCGCATGTAGTCTTATGGAGTGACGTCAGAGTTGCCTATCATGTTGTTTAATGTCATTGGTCACACTAACTTTTGTACTGATTAAATGCGGATATTCATGTACGTATGCTACAAAAAAATTAAAGTTCATCCGATTTAAATGAAAACTGCACAATTAGATAGATCTGAGTGAAAATAAGGAAATAATACCAAGTTTGTAAAAAACGGTCAAGAAATATCGGAATTTTAGTACCGCCCGACAGGCCAACTTTTTCAATAAGGATTGTATTACTTTTTTGATAAGAACTGTTATAAATATGAAAAAAAACATATCAATCACTAATCTTTCGATCTGCGTCACATCTATGGAATATTGAGACTATTTCTGGATTTTATTCTGGCAATGGTGTTTTACACCGCCGAAAGATCGTGGCAAATAAACGCTGGAGTTGTGCATGTTAGTTTGTCAGTGGTAAATTGGTAAGTATCAACTATCAAGTTAGGAAAGAAATACACACGCCCACATAAATTTTATTGGTGTCTATAGACAATACCATTAATTTGCACTAAGTATTACTTGAGCGTAATTTTTGAAAGCTTTGAATGATGGGAAATTTATTCGCTAATGATAAAAATCAAATACCAGATAATAGTCGTTTATTTTATCTAAATTATGTCAAAATTTTATGGAATTCCATGCTACAGCAAGCAGTCGTTTTTATGAGCGGTATTCCGACACGGCGTAACGGTACTTAGCAGACGTGATGCGGACATTTTTGGCGCAAAAAGGCGAATTTTGTAACATTCCTAATTCATGACTGCAACGTTTTGATAACAGCTAAACTCAGGATAGTTGTCAAGATATGAAAATCTTGTATATTTGTTTTCCTAGGATGTTTGCGATCTATATCCTGCGATATAGATAGAATTTAATATTCAAGTCTTCAGAAATGTAGAATATATATCGTTAACAAATTGAATGGATTTCCCAACTTTTGTGAATTTATTGTAGGCCTATTGCATTGACAAAAATATTTGTCCGGCCCGTTTCAACACAGTTTGAGTCATACCCGGCCCGCGGTCAAAAAAGTTTGGTGACCCCTGCATTAAACGATAGTCCAGTGGTTCTCAACCTGTGGTACGCGTACCACTAGTGGTACGCGGGAGCTTTTCAAGTGCTACGCGAGCAGTTTTAATTATTGCAACAATTAACCTTTCAGTTGGCTAAAATATGCCGACGACGCTTTATCTTTCTTACTGTATGTATTCGCTGAACAGCGTTTATGAAGGTTTCCCCAAGCATCAGTTTCCTTGTTTATTTCAGTAACTATAACCAATCAACACAATAATGACGCAACTCGTAACAATTGCAATTTCTGCACCCAGCTGATTAGACACTTTTGTCGCTCAAACAGATATTCTAGCATGGTTGCAAACATTGCCTCGTTTTGTAGTTTTGAGTGATATTTTTACTTCAGTTGCAGTAATCGAAATTGAATCTGGAAAATGCTGTGATGGACAAAGCTAAACTTAGCTATATCCAATGCTGCCATCGACATGAACCCAAAATAAGGACAAAGAACGAAATGCAATAAACAAAATGTATTCATGCTAGTGCAATCCGTGACTAATCATATTTGTAAAAATATCATGATGCAGTTCAATACACAATATCCAAGTTCCCTTAATCATATTTGCAAAGGATTTGCTCCAGCAGTCCTTTATTCTTAGAAACAATCTGTTCCATCTCACTTTTAAGCTGTATTTTGATTCAGGTTACACGCAGTGATTTTGGTCGGTAGGCTATTGTTTTGTCACTGTGTCAATTAATTTGCTCTTATTACGTAATGAATGCACGTAGCAATCAATGAGATTGTAAAAAATCATTTCTAGCAAATCAATCATTCGATTTGACAAATCTAAGTGCCTGATATTAAAACCTCTACCCATAAAATAAGCCTGACTATATCAGTACCTGCAAACGGCACATATGGTTGATTTATTTTAATAGAAGTGATGGTTTTAAACACGTGAACCATTTTATATGCGCCAACACATCAAAACACTCTCAGAATAAGCATGAAGCTCACAATTGTAAAGTATGGGGGAAATTTTTCGGAGTCAATGGTCGGGGAAACGTGCACAGCGCTGGTGCGCTTTCAGTCATTTTCTCTAGAGATTGCCCTCGCCCGCTATTGCCCATGTTTGTTTTGCGTGTTACGCCACAAAGGATGTAGTGCCACAGGTGACCGTACATTTGAACCCATGTCTATATCCGTGGGTTCAATCAATATGCGGGTGCTGAAACCCATGGGTTAGTATGGGTTCAACTATCCGTACAACAACAAAATTTCCATAGGTGCAATAGTATGCAGGTGGAATTGTCATGGGTTCAAATGTAATGGTACCCATAGCACGTTTCTTGTGTCTTTTTCCCCACGCCAAAAAAGGAGCTTTGTCGGTGGTACGCGGTCAGTAAAAGGTTGAGAACCACTGCGATAGTCGGACTTGCAACTTTTTTTGGGGTCTCGACGAGGCGACAGACACGGTCTTGACTCGTGAAATATCCTCGTTTTTTCACTGCACGCATAACAAACCAGCTATCTCATCCATCCCCTATATAAAGAACTAACAAACTTCTCTCGGTAAAGTCTCATCTACGAAACCGTCAAAACAGACAGCGTTCGAAAACAGCGGTAACATTTTATTAAGGTGAAGGATGGGGCGGTGGCGGCTGAAATGAGAACATGCCACGACGAAGTGACATTTAACAACCGCCAACTTCCGATTCTAGTATCATGGGCTGTCTCGGCGATTCGCCAGACGAGCGGTCTTGACCTATGAAATAACCTAATCTTCTCACTGCTCGCATAACACCATAAAACAAATAATATATATCAACCAGTTATCTCGTCCATCCACCATATATGGAAACTAACAAACTATCTTGGCGAAGTCTCAATCTATAAAACAGTTAAAACACACTTCGAGAACAGCGGTAACATTTTATTCAGGTGGGGGAGGGGGTGGTGGCGGTTGAAAGGAAAGCATCTGTTGTGATTGTTGAAAACGAGGTTGTTCCCAGCCTATAAATGGAGGTGGTGGATCTGCAAAACATTTGTAAAAATTACTGAAGGAATCGGAGTGAACTGAAATCAATGTTAACAGGTTCACAATTTACGAGTACATAATACTAAGTGATTTACTAGATCCAAACCAGATGGAAAAATGTTGCGGCCAACACATGCTTTGGTTGTAATTTATTAACCCGAAGGCTTCTTTGACATGGAGAAATTTCAGCAGACTTATTCACATCTTATATGCCATTAGCATGCAACAACGACTTGTGATGCCATTATTTCTGTTTGTGATATCATAGGCAAGTTTATATATAGATAGATAGATGCTAAAACCTATTCACTTACAATTATAATTCCCAAGTGGAGGAGGTGGCACTTGTGCTCTTTGATAAGGATTCATATATCCTCCCATTGGCGGAGGAGGTAATAATGGATAGGGTGGAGGTTCTGGGAACAAAGGAAGCGATGGCATGTTGTTGTGATTTCTTCCCACTGGTCTATTGACTGCATTCTGCCAAGCCATTTGCGACTCATCAGGAGTATTCATTCTAAGAAGTATAATATAACTGTATATAGACATGGTTACGATGAGAGTTGGTGCAAATTCATTTAACATTGATGATATCAGACCATGTCACCTAAAGCAGGTAACAGATTGGGACTGTGACACACTCTCGCTTCCTTTATGAGGTATTTATATTAAGTTGTTTCATTATTTAGAAAATAGAAAAACCTGTTTGAAATGACAGTGATCTTTATGATTCAAATCATAGCCTACTCAATTCCCTAAAATGACCTCACTTTTCTTTTTTTACTAAATTAACAAAGAACTCTCAGAATGTGTCAAAAATCATAGGCTTTGACGTCTTGATCAACCTTTTACTTCTGAAACGAAAAGACACAACGATGCAGTACAGAAAAAACTTCCATATTTGCAAGGCGATGCACAGTCTCATAAACAGATAAAGCTGAACAAGCGTAAATCCACATCAGTCCAAATGCCTTCAAACTTCATCACAGAGTTCTATTCTTAGACTGCAGAGAGTGAAAGCTAAAAAAAGTTTCAATTTTATACCATGTTGCATTTACCTTATTGTCGATTGATTATGCCAATGATCCCGTTTTCTGCCTCTGCCCCTACCTCGTCCTCTCCCCCGGCAAGCATTTTGACTAGATTCTCCTGCAATTATAGAGAAATTGAAAAATGTAGAGCAATTGAATTATCTGCAGTTTTTCTGGGACTTAAAATTATATTATTTACAATTAAGATAGGAGAGAAAGAATAGTAGATGCACAGAAGCTATCCAAAACCCCTTAGGCATACAGTTAGTAATGAAACATAACTTTTAATGACTAAGAAAAATTGAAGTAGTAAAAGTATCATTTTTTCACCATTTTGGGAAGCTGTGCTTGTGCTGGCATTTTCATCAGGTTGACCCCAAGATTGATTTTTCCTCTGCTTTCTAGCTTCACGTTCTTGCTCATCATCAGAATATTCAATGCAAGATGGTGGAGGTTCTCTGTCATTGGACCATGATGCATCAGACCCACGTAACCTTGCAATTACAAAGAATGAGATTCTGGTACCAAACACGGTAAATAACGTAAGTTAAGCAATACAAGCTGTGACGTAAACACAACAAATAAGGCTGTAAATTACCTTTTTAACTCCGAAACAAATACAAAACTTGTGAAATCTTTGATATTCGGAGCATAGAATACTTCTTTTTCTAATTGAACTTCCTTAGAAATAATGTGCTCTGCGCTATTAAATCTCACGACATAATATGGGGAAGGAACAGGACCAAAAGTTTCCTCAACCTGAGAAAAGAGAAAAAAGTTTGATGAACATTTTTGATAGAAAAAATTATAGTCAATGACTAAATTTTAGTTTGTTCTAAAGTTTAAAAAAAAAATCAAACTTGAAACTACTAATATGAAAATAGTGAGATTGAAGCGGAAACTTACTGCTCCAATCGCTAAATCTCTTGCAAAGAACAGCACTGTTTTGAAATCGAGAGCAGGCTTGTTTTCATAAGATTTAATCACAACTGAAAAAAAAAAATATAGAATTTGAGATCAATAAACGAACCGTCCCAATAGCAATGATGCTTCAAGGACATATCTATACAGCACAAAAGTGTTTACATTTTCTAATCACTGGAACGAAGGATAATTTTTTGAATCAAATAATACCAATTTCGGCAATTCTTCTGAATTTTCGGTTCCAACTCTCAGTAATAATGTATAATCATAGTCTTAACAGTGAGATTTCCGTCAATGGAGGTCATTATTAGAAAGTCAGAGTTTAGAATCGTGAAAAAACTTCACAATATCTAAAATGACTAAACAAACAGACCGGCATATCAAGATTCACTGCAGAAACTAAATCAGTCCAAATGCCTAAGGTCATCATAGAGTTGATGTAAAACAAGTCAGAATTTATTGGCGAATGTAATTCACTTCAATGACAGAAAAAGCCAATAAATTTGTAAAAACATTTGAGTTTGATAAACAGAAACAAAAATACCTCATAAATAACTATACTTTGACTGTTTCCGCACAAATATATATTACTTTGCTACCCATTACCAGTAACAACAGAATTTGTTTTTAAGGATGTAACACTTTCTGACGCAGAAACAACATCTGCGGCATCATCTTCTTCAGTTGCAATAATATAGACCAGGTATAATATCAAATAAATCACAACAATTTCAATGAACATAGCCATCATGGGAAGCTAGGCAACAGCAAGCAGTCCTACTAATTACTACCATTGTAATTTTCCATCTTAATGACCAAGGCATTGTTACATCACAAGCCAATTTAAAAAAATCTGTAGTGAAAGCATCTTAAACATAGTGTGATGAGTAATATGAACATTGAAATTAAATTACCCTAAAAACTCTGATACAATTATAAATGAAAAAGAAGTGAAATAATACAAATAACAAATAGGTGATTATCAAATCCAAATGTTTATTATGTAGCCAGGGTAACTGTGAAAAATGAAACAATTACTATACCTGAATGGTCATCCATAATCTGAGAAACCTTTCCAATATTATCAAGTTGCGCATCTTCAGGCAAAGATATATGCAGATCTTCTACTGGAGGCAACTCCTGGAAGTTATATGGTTGCAATTTAAACATGACAGGCTAATATGAAATTAGAAGAAGCGCCAACTTACCGAATTTAAAATTTCTCCCTTTACTTTTGGAGGCTCTGTATTCTTCAATTCCGCTATTTCCTCAGATATTTCAATATCTTCATGCCTGATTCGTGCTATGCTGCAAAAGCAAAAAATCCATAAATTCCTCAGGTAAATAAAATAATAGATCAAACCCCATTCAGAGGATATTCATCTTCAAAACTTTGATTAAAGAAAAATCTAAATTACCATGAATCATCTGATGATGTATCAGTCGATGTAGAACTATCGGAAGAATCCGAATCACTAGATTCATCTTCAGAATCCGAGTCTAAACTGGATTCTGTATTGTTTTCAACATTTTCTTTGACACTATCAACTACCTGGAGAGTTGAAGGTATTGCAAAGAAATGTTATTGCAACCAAATTATTAGTTTTAAATCCAGCTACGCTACCATGCTTTTCATAAACAACTGTTTATAATTAAGGATAGAGTCAGAAAGAATCAGAGTATTTTATCGACACATTACAGTTGGATCTATATTTGTATCTTCGAGTTTTGGGAGGCACCCCTTACTTTTGTCAGGGCTCTTAGCCTTTTTCCAGTGCAGTGTTAAATGGAACATCGTCAGACTGAACTGCCCATATCAGCAGCAAGTATGAATAGATCAGTGTTAAATATACATTGATGGTGATCAGTTTTTGACATCTTGTTTCAAGCACATTGTTATGTTGTCTAATACAAACACTTTTTTTAATACACATGAAAACTATCATTTTCTGATGCCAGCGGTATATAATTTTTGTTCATAAATCAACCAGTAAAAACAATGCAATAAGATATACCTACCTCTATCATAGATGAAACGAAGCCGCCTTGAAAAGTATCAACTCCCTCACTTTTTTCATTTAAAATTTGAGTAGAAGCATCTGTTAAACCATCATTTTCTTGCGTTTCTATTTGATTATGTGATGAATTCTTTACGCAATAATTGTGCTCAGGTGCTGAACTATTCAGTGTAGATTGGTTGCACGATTTCTCATTATTAATGTCTATGAATGCTTTGTTACTACAGTCTTCGCTTGAAGTTTTAATTGCAATTAAAGGGTTTATATGCGAAATGACTGAATTATTATTTACATTGTCATTGATTGTGACTTTGGCATGTTCTGAAGTTTTACATAATGTATCATCAACACCAACAACTTTATCGAACTGAGTATTAGTTTGTTTTATATCATTCCCAACGCAAGAGATGCAGTTTGGTTCAGTCACTTGATGTTTACATAGTTTTTCATCATGTTGTTGATGCTGCTCACAATTTTGCAGAATTTCTTCTTCTTGTGTTTCATTATATATGAATGTTTGTGATTCATTCATTTTATTCGATTGGTAAATTCTTGGAGGATGTTTTATTCACTATCAAACTTAATAATGTTTCCTTAAAGCGAATACTGGAATAAAACATTTGAGGAGTTAGAAAAAGTATATGTTTACAATTAAGGACAGTACTGCAGTCACAGATTAAATTAGCTTAGTGACTTAATGAAGATTAAAACAAGCAAAGTGAGATATAACTTGAGCGGCTTGTGTCGGAAATAAAGACTAAAAGAGAACCATGGGGTCTAGTGTCTACACACACTTTGTCAAATCTTCGACTGGTTAACCCAGCCTTAGGCTAAAGCAGAGACACTCAATTATTTTCACTAAAATGTCGTACATTTATATATATATATATATGTCTTCCAGGGAATTGAATTATTTTCAACTCTGAAAATTGGGAATAAAAATGTGGTGAAGAATGATTTTTCAAAATAAAATTAAGAAAAACCACAACATCCACAATAATTTTAGCAAAAGCTTCTTCAGTCCACTTTGGAGTGAAAGTGGTGACTCCTCTACGGCCCATGGGCCGGGGCCTCGGCCCATCAGGCTATGGGCCGCGGCCCATCAAGTTGTGTAAAAGGACTATTCACTTGGCTAACGCAGTCAGTCCTCGAACTCATAATAGGACTAGACTATAATGTGAAAAATCTGAACAAAATTTTGTCCTAACCCTAACCTGGTACACATACTACAGGAGTATTCTTTTCTGTTGCTTGGTATTTTTCTTTATTTTTATATAAAGGCTCATTGTAAGAAAAAAATCTGGTGGCATCTGGCGATTATTTTCGGTTCGAATATTGACAATTTTGTGAAAATTGAAAATTTTGTTAAGATAATTGAATTTTTTCTGATGAGGCCGCGGCCCATAGCTTGATGGGCCACGGCCCATGTGGCCAAATTAGATGGGCCGTGGCCCCGGCATATGGGCCGTAGAAGAGTTACCATTCCTGTAGCCACTTTGTGTCCAGCAGCAAAGTTATTTGTGAATTGTTAGTCTGAGAAATTACATTTCTTTGTTTTTGCCAGCCAATCATTTTAATCTTGGTTCAAGGAAGTGCAAGTACAGAAGTATACTATTTTGCAAAATAAGGTTATTTGTCCCATTTTTGAATTTCAAAAATACAACTAAAAAACTGACAAATAGCAGGCAAAGACACAAAAACAATCCATGTTTACCACCTTATCTAAAAGTCTCTGAAAAATGTACCCAAGTAGCCGCTAAAACTTCAGTTTTCACGCTACTTTGCTACTATTCACATCTCGCTGATTAGTCTATGCTGAACAAGTGCAGAAGTGAGTCGATGCTCCAGTGCTCTGATACGCTACAGGGGTGGTGACTCCTCTACGGCCCATATAATTGGGCCACATGGGCCGTGGCCCATCAAGCTATGGGTCGCGGCCCATCAGAAAAAATTCAATTATCTCACCAAAATTTCCAATTTTTACAAAATTGTCAATATTCGAACCAAAAAAAAAATCGCGGGATGCCACCAAACTTTTTTCTTACGATAAGCCTTTACATAAAAATAAAGCAAAATACCAAGCTACAGAAAAGGTCAAAGGATACACCTGAAGTATGTGTACCAGGTTAGGGTTAGGACAAAATTTTGTTCATATTTTTCACATTAGAGTTCTATTATGAGTTCGGGGAGTGGGTAGGATTTACAACTTTATTAGTCTTTATTATTTTATCCCTTTACACCAGGGGTCACCAAACTTTTTTGACCGCGGGCCGGGTATGACTCAAACTGTGTTGAAACGGGCCGGACAAATATTTTTGTCAATGCAATAGGCCTACAATAAATTCACAAAAGTTGGGAAATCCATTCAATTTGTTAACGATATATATTCTACATTTCTGAAGACTTGAATATTAAATTCTATCTATATCGCAGGATATAGATCGCAAACATCCTAGGAAAACAAATATACAAGATTTTCATATCTTGACAACTATCCTGAGTTTAGCTGTTATCAAAACGTTGCAGTCATGAATTAGGAATGTTACAAAATTCGCCTTTTTGCGCCAAAAATGTCCGCATCACGTCTGCTAAGTACCGTTACGCCGTGTCGGAATACCGCTCATAAAAACGACTGCTTGCTGTAGCATGGAATTCCATAAAATTTTGACATAATTTAGATAAAATAAACGACTATTATCTGGTATTTGATTTTTATCATTAGCGAATAAATTTCCCATCATTCAAAGCTTTCAAAAATTACGCTCAAGTAATACTTAGTGCAAATTAATGGTATTGTCTATAGACACCAATAAAATTTATGTGGGCGTGTGTATTTCTTTCCTAACTTGATAGTTGATACTTACCAATTTACCACTGACAAACTAACATGCACAACTCCAGCGTTTATTTGCCACGATCTTTCGGCGGTGTAAAACACCATTGCCAGAATAAAATCCAGAAATAGTCTCAATATTCCATAGATGTGACGCAGATCGAAAGATTAGTGATTGATATGTTTTTTTTCATATTTATAACAGTTCTTATCAAAAAAGTAATACAATCCTTATTGAAAAAGTTGGCCTGTCGGGCGGTACTAAAATTCCGATATTTCTTGACCGTTTTTTACAAACTTGGTATTATTTCCTTATTTTCACTCAGATCTATCTAATTGTGCAGTTTTCATTTAAATCGGATGAACTTTAATTTTTTTGTAGCATACGTACATGAATATCCGCATTTAATCAGTACAAAAGTTAGTGTGACTTGTGAAATTGGAGCAGTACGCGAGGGATTACAGTACTGTTAGCGCAAAATGCACATTCGACGTTCATTTTAGCACAAGAAACGTAAACAGTTTCGTCGAAAGCACGCGTCACGAGTGTATCTTTCGCAGACAACGTTGCATACTGGTAGAAAATTTTAACCTATTTTGTCACTGCTATTTCTAGACTAATTTTTCATCACTACTATTAAAACTGTAACTCCTAAGGAGGCAAATGATGACTGACTTAATTTGTTTGATCCATACTTAAATTTCCCAAACGGTTCCATTACATTTGAACCCATGACAATTGCACCTGTATGCTATTGCACCTATGGAATATTTTTTGTTTTTCGGATAGTTGAACCCATACTAACCCTAACCCATGGGTTTTAGCACCCGCATATAGATTGAACCCGTGGATATACACATGGGTTCAAATGTACGTGGGTTCAAATGTACGGTCACCTTCCCAAACACAACCTAAAACTAACGAAGTATTGTTTACAACCACGACTGAAAATCTGTCAGGGTGACAAAAGTGTCTGAGCGAATGCGAAAAGGGGTATTATCACGTCACTCTTTTGCATCTTGCTGATTGGCCAATTTTACGAAATAAACAAGGAAGACGATGCTCGGGACAATTTCCTTTGGAATATTTCGCCATTTTTGCGTGTTATCGCGGGCCGGATAAAATGACGCAGCGGGCCGGATCCGGCCCGCGGGCCGTAGTTTGGTGACCCCTGCTTTACACAACTTGATGGGCCGAGGCCCCGGCCCATGGGCCGTAGAGGAGTCACCACTTCCACTCCTGATAGGCTTGATCATAGTGAACCCTGGAACCACAGATTCTCGTCCGTTTACTAATCTACGGTATGTCAGGTATCTAGCCTAGGTACCAGATTAGTAAGCTATTTATTTGTTTCAGATGCACGGACTTGATGGTGAACCAAAGCAAAGTCGACCAGCGGTTACGTGAACGGTCAGACGGTGAACGTAATCAAGTAACATTCTGTCATTAGGGCAATCTCTTACCGCCATGCTTCGCTTTTTTCGCTAATGACCGACATTTCCAGACTGCAGTAAAGGATCCTCACATACACCGAGAAAGTGACAAAAGCATGCGAAGCAACACAAACGAATTAACGATGCCACAGCGAATCTGAACAAGACAAGGGCAACGCGAAGTACTGCAGCATGCGCTTATAGCGCGAACACGTGGTTTGTCCGCACATTCTGTGGCCAACGACCATCATACAGGGTTATGAAGTATTCACTTTGGCTTCGACCACTTGTGCATTTTAGATGCGAGCAAGAGAGAGTTCATTGCATTTGTGAGCGGTGGTTTGCGCCAATATCTTATTGGACACGTTTAGTGGACATAACGATCGTTTCAAAATTTTGTTGTTATTGTTATTTGTCTCCATTATTTTTAAAAAATCGCTTTTCTCTTCGAATACTGGACCAATTGCTTTGAAATTTTCAGTGGTTAAAGATAAAAATTTTCTCCAGAAGGCTTTCTTTTATTCATTTCTAAATTTCGCATGAAATCTGATATTTCGTCTAAAATCTCGCTGTATTATTTTATCCATGGGAACACTGCCTGTCCGGTTTGATTCTGTAAATTATTCCTACGCGAAACTCGGATTTTTTTGTGGGTACCGGTTGCGTCAAAGGTAAATACTGCTTCGCTCTTCGCTACCGGTATTTGTTTTTCGAAATCATGGACTTCTTGCTTGGTGTCAGTATATTTGTAGACTGTGGTATGTCTTGTAGACCAGTACCGGTACCGGTATGTAGACCAAGTATGTACCGGTACCGGTATGTAGACCACCGTAAATAGACCAATACGGTTATTCAGTTATTGTCTTATAAACAGGAAACATGTAAAAGATTTTAGTCCTAATACCGTACCGGTAACTGCGTTGTCTCAGTTCTAACACCGGTGTCATACGCTGTTACCCGGTACCGGTACCGTAAGTACCGAACACTAGAATATATCAAATGTCAGAATGCCTGGTACCGGTAGTGAAATGAATTTCCTTTACCAGATTTGGCTACTTCGGACGAAAACCAAAATTTGTACCGGTATCCGAACACTGGAATATATCAAATGTCAGAATGCCTAGTAGCGGTAGTGAAATGAATTTCATTCACCAGATTTGCCTACTTCGGTCAAAAACTAAAATTGGCATACCGGTACCGGTATCTTTGCCTGACAAAATTTTGAACTTAATAAATATTTACGGTAAATCATACAGTTATAACTTTGCAAATGCTGATACTGTGTTATGTCAGTATTTGTCAACCAATTTGCGACCGCCGTGTTTTCGTCCGTTTGATTGCTGTGATGTGGTGCTT